AGGCAGGTTTCCTGGACGTGAAGGCCTGGGCGGGGAGGGATGGGGAGGGGCAGTGAGGTCCAGAGGTGACAGAGATGGGCACTGGCTGTGGACACGCTCGGATCAGCTGATGTTCTGTGTTTGCATGCACAGGTATCTTCTGGCTTGTTCACCAGGAAATCCTGGAAGCGCATTTTTATAAAGAAGACATGTTATTTTTTCCTCCACCTTGGTAATAATCTTGTCTTTGAAATGACAAAGGCATTAATGTTTTTTAATGGAGATTTATTTCATAACCAGTCTGTGAGACAGCTGCTTTCTTCATCTGCTTCTGCACTACCAGGACCCCTGCCCACCCTCTGAGCTCCCTGAGAGGGGGGCTCACACAGGAGGAGGGCATGGGGCGGCCAAGCTCCAGGCCTGGGCTCAGGCTGCGGAATCAAGGTGCCAGCTCCAGTGTCTCCCCTCTGTGACAGGGACCACCATGGTTTCTGCCTAACTCCTCCTCCTCCTTCTCCTCATCCTCCTCCTCCTCCTCCGTGGGCAGAGAGGAAAGAAGGTCGCACACCCTGGGCCTGGGGGCTGTCATCCCTGAGGGCTGGACAGTGGCTGAGAGCTGACCTTCCCCAGAGGGACGCAAGTCCCTGTGCCTGTGACAGGCGACTGCAGCTCTCGCCTGCATTTGCCTCAGCATTTCCGCAATGAGGACACATGGTGAGGCATGCGGCTGGCAGCTCTTAGCTATCTCTAAGGCCAGTCAGCCAGCACTTGAAGAGTATTCTGGGGTTTAGCATGCTGGCCCTGCGCTGAGGAAGGAAAGGACTTTTATCCGGAGCTTGTCCTGTGCCTTGCGCCGTCACAGCAATGTCTTGCGTGCCCGGGGGATGAGTGGCGCTCTGAGACCTCTGACCACAGTTGGTCTGGGGTCTGTGCATTCTGGGGGTTACCTGCTCTCACCCGCATAGCTTTTCACTGTCCTCCGCTGCTTCTCTGAGGTCACAGAACATGTCCTCATCACAGGTCCATGCGAACTGATGTTCTTATTGTGTATGACCCTTTTTTCCTCCTAGCTCTGTTTGGAATAAGAAATTTCCCCTTTATTCCTCTTTTTTTTTTTTAAGATTTTATTTATTTTTAGAGATAAGGGAAGGGAGGAAGAAAGAGAGGGAGAGGAACATTGATGTTCCAGAGAATCATCAATTGCTTGCCTCTTGCATGTCCTCAACTGAAGACCTGGCCTGCTGCCTAGCCCTGTGCCCTGCCTGGGAGTTAAACCGGCGACCTTTTGCTGGTCTGCAGGACCCAGCACTCTGAGCCATGCCGGTCAGGGCACAAGTTTCCCCTTTCACCAAAGGGACAGCAGCCCCACCCTCATCCCTGTTCCTCAAAGTGTCGTTTCTGTCCCAGGCACTTAACGGGGTTTATTTCCACAAAGGCAGCTCACATTCTCTGAGAAGTGTCCTAAAAAACAATTTCTCCATGCTCTGCATATACTTCTATTGAGCGTATACACTTATTTCACAAAAATGGAATTGCGCTGCCTGCTTTCATTCACAGTGCTGCGTTCACTACCATCTCCACTGTGGCCGGCTGTGCTCAGTGGGGTCTGGGGGCCCTCAGTCTGGTGGGTGTGGCCGCCCAGCTGTGGACTCCCCCGGTCCCCACTCAGGTTGTCCCAGCGTTTTGCTGTTAGAAACAGTGTTGTGATGAACTGCCTTGTTTTTTGGTTATACTTCCCATTACCTTAGACACTCGCTGAACGGATTGGTTCTCACTAACTTGCTGAAGCGTCGTCCTCACACAGCAGCTCATTATCTGTGAAGCGCCCTGTGCGCAGGCCCACAGGCACGTACCTGCATGATTGCAGCAGGGGTTCTGTTTCACGGAGTTAATTTTTTGTTATGAATATACAAGTTCTGTCCATAAGATATCCAGCCATGCCATACAAAAACAGACATTTATTGAAGAAGATAAAGATACAAGAAACATTGTACATAGGACAATGATGCCTCAGTCCCCTTCAGAGTAGGTGCGTTGGAACCTCACACAGTTCTCCCAATTGCCATTGCTACTCTGTCATATTTCCCTGAATCTCATCGGTGGTCTGAAATTTCTTCCCTTTCAAAGGTGATTTGACTTTTGGGAAAAGCCAGAAGTCACAAGGCACCAAATCTGGGCTGAGGCGGGGCTGAGTCACCTGGGTGATTTAATGTTTCACAAAAAAAACCCTGCACAAGAGGTGATGCATGAGCAGGTATGTTGTTGTGATGAAGCTGCCAAAAATCCAGTTGCCCATAGCTGTGTCCTTCTGATCATCCAAATAGTCTCCACGGAGGAATATTCACGCTTAAAGCAAAATTTGATGAAGATTTGTAGCTCTACTCATTCAGTCATTTTGAATGTGACAGCCACACAATACACATGCTCACTCAATGGTGTCTACGGACCCCACTGACTACTACAGTGAAGTTGTCATTGTTCACGCATGTGCAGTCCAGTCTGTTCTCCTTGGCTGCCAGGTTACATGGATGTTGCGCAAATGTTCTTGTTCCATTAACAGTGGCTGGACTTTTTCCAGACAGATCTTGTGTACATTTTAGAGTTCATCAAGAGATTAACAGATTTCCTAATACATTTCTGTCTCATTGGAGGAACAAACCCCTGCTTGACCTAATGTTGCTAATCTGCCTCTGAATATGATTTGTAAATACTGATCTTGCATGATTTTTGGATTTATATTTGAAAGTGTTCCTCTGGTTTCCTCTGTGCACAAGTGCCAGGCATTCCTATCCCAGCTGCACTGCTGGGTGCAGAGAGTGGGGGCCTCGCCCTAGCTTCTTTGCCCTGGAGGGCTTCAGTTCAGAAACCACTTATTTCTCAGACCTGTGAGAAGAGTTTTTGGTCTTTGACATACTCCTCAATATTATTCATGGTATATTATCTTTTAGATTGTCTCATTTTGGTCAGTTTTGGTGGAAAAATATATATTGTATATTTGAAGGCCATTTTTTCCTCCTAAATGTTCAAAACTTTGAGTACAGAGATGTATAAAGGGGCCATGTTTATAATTTCTTTTTTATAAACTTTGTCCTTTTTCTCTTTTCTTCTTGATTGGTATTTAGCTTATATTTTTAAAAGTACTTGGGTATACAGATCAATCCCACTCTTATGCATAGATCACTTCTGTTTCTAATGCATTAATTTATACTTTTATTGCTTTGTTTTTCCTATTTTATTTATATTTATTTGTTGGTAATTTCCTATATTTTAAAAGGAATGTTTTTCCTTTTAACAGGGTGAACATTTTTCACTCTGTTACTTAGCAGTTAAATTGCTTAGTTAATTTTTCCCTGAGTATAGTTTGACTATCTGTCTTTGGCATTTTAGGTAGCATTCCTATTTTCGATATTTATGAGGCAGCCTATGATTGTGGTATTCATTTCATTTTTGTTTCTGCTTTTTAAATTTTTTACTATTATTTTTACTAATTTTTAGTTTCATTACATTGTTCTCAGAGGACATGGTCTGTCATTTCTGTGTGCAGTATTTAATCATGTTTTCTCTGTGGCTCACCGTACTGTTTTCTTAAATACACCATGGTTTATTAAAAAGGTTTATTCTTACATTTTTAAATTTGACTCATCGGTAATATTTGACATCTAGAAGATATTTAATATCTTTAATTTTAAAAACCAGAGGTAAAATGGAGAGTTAAATTTTAAACCAAAGAGACTGTATAAAGATTGAAAAACTTCACCATACATGTTCCCTAGAGGCTGCCGTCCTAAGGCAGGAGCAGATATTCTTACAGATCCCAGGTCCCGCAGAGCACACAGGGCTCCTTCCGCTCCAGGACGCCTCGCCCTGGACACGGGTCCCCGCACCGGCACCGGCGCCGCTCTCGTTGGGGGCGCTGCCTCTGCCTGTCCTGCCAGGTTTGCTTCCCAGGCAGACAGCAGCTGCTGGGGGAAAGAGGAAAGGCAAGGGCGGGAGTGCTGGGGTCCAGGGGCACCCCGGGACTGCAGGGTCTCCTTTGCTGGGCTCCAACAAGGAGGCAAACGGGCCGGCCGTGCGAGGTCAGCTCCGACCGCTGCAGAGCTTGCCAGGGCTAAGGAGAGGCGGTTCTTACAGCCGCCCCTTTTCTCCCGGGAAATGGCACCGCCCACCCTTTAAAACAGGCTGCATGTTTACGAACGATCATCTGGGTGTAAGAGTATAATTTACGCAAAATATTTAGATTTATTTTGAAAGAATTGAATGATTTGAAACACTGAAAGTTTTCCATTGAGTCTACAAGTTGAATTGAAAGAGGTCATCAAGGTCACATAACTTCATAAAAAATGGGTTCTTTGTCAAAGAGGCACAGAAGACTGGAGGTTGCCCGCAGTTAGACTAGGTGGCGTGGCTGCGGCTCGCAGAGGATGTGCAGGGGAACCTCTGCGTGGGGAGGAGAGACACAGGAGCAAAGGTTGCCAGACCTGCTGCCGCGCGCAGCCTCCTGCCCTGTCCCAGAGTGTCCCCGTGCGGTCCCCTTGCCGTCGCCCCGCCCTGCTCCCCCCCACTCGGCGCTGTGCGCCTGCTACCACTGCAGGTCTCCCCCGCGTTCTGCGTTTCGTTTTCAGGAAAACTGAGGTGCCCTTAACGTCTCCATTACGTGGGCGAGGAGCTGAGCTCTTTCAATTAGGTCTCACGGCTAATTAAAAACAGTGAGTTTGAGGTCCCAGGCGAGGGAACTCCCAGAACACTGGGTTCTCCTTTTCCCCTCATTATACTGCCGCTGTGAACTGCAACCGCCTCTGAATAATCTCTTCCAGTGAGCACTCAGGTTTGATGTTTCCTTCCCTGTTCATACCCGGCAGTTCTCTTTGTAATGCCTCCAATTTGTGTGTGTATTTGTTTATGTTTTAGATATGAAGTAGCGGCATTTTGTTCTTGATCCAACATTTTAGAGCTACTATTAGCTTGTTGTGTTTGGAACTGGAAAAATCGTCTAAATGTGAAATCTGTCTTTTCTTTTGCAGCGGCTCTCATTAGAGGAAATCGCAAAAACTGTGCACAGTTTTCTGGCTCCCTCGACTGGCTGATCAGCCGACTGGAAAGACTAGAAGCTTCTTCGGGTACGTTTTCCAGTTATCTCCTTGTATGTTACATAATTCCTGTTTTCTTCTGTTTTATGTCCTTTAAGACATTGAAACACATTCTGAGGTTCAGTGAAATATGTTTTTCTTTTACTAGGTTAGTTTACTTATAATAATACCTGTATTTTTATTAGTTATTTCTGAAAAACAATCTGACAGTATCTCATTCATTTACATTTAAAAGAGTGAAGTTCAGCCCTGGTTGGTGTGGCTCAGTGGACTGAGTGCTGGCCTGCGAACCAAAGAGTCACCGGTTCGAGTCCCAGTCGGGGCACAGGCCTGGGTTGCAGGCTAGGTCCTCATTAGGTGGTGCATGAGAGGCAACCACACATTGATGTTTCTCTCCCTCTCTCTGTCTCTTCCCCTCTCTCTAAAAAATAAATAATAAATAAGAATCTTTAAAAAAATGGAAATAAAAATAGTGATGTTCTGAAAGCCCCATAAGGCCACATCCCTGCTCTTCCTCAAATCAATTACTCCTAAGTACAAACAAAAAGGTTGATTTGGAATTCCCATTTTTAACTTGTGTTCAAATGATTATTTAGAAAGATTTAGATAAAATTAATTTTCTAAATCATATAGCACAGTGTTTTATTTTATAGGAATTCAATAAATTAAATAAACAGTCTGTGTCATAGTAAAATGGTCACAGGCAACAAATCTGACCGTCTGCCTCTGCCAGGCACATCGTCTTGTTGTGGCGCTGTGGAGACCCCCAGGCGTTCCCGGGCCTCCTGCTGCCTTGCCGCCCCGGCCTCAGCGGCAGCTCGGCCACACCTGCTGCGCCTCTGCTGGTCGCAGGGCGTTTCATCAGCCGCCCTCCTGCAGTGCCGCTGCCCCTTGTGGTGGCGGTTTTTCTGTTAATCGGCTACACTAACAGTGAACTTGAAGACAGGGGCAAGATTTCATTCTTCTTCGTATTCTCTGTCTACCGTCTGGCAGCTAGAAAGTGCTTATCGTATTTGTGAAATGGATGAATGAACGAACAAATGAATGAATGTTTGAATTCACTTAAGACAATGCTTATCAATAAAGAAGTAATTTCATGACTTTCGCATGATAGAGACACACTTAGGGGCCGGTTTGTTGGAATTGAATGAAGAGAGAGAAGAACTGATAGTTGTGGTAAAGAGGGTTATTTTAAGTTACAGAGTGAAATGTTAGAGTTTTAAGACTTAGGAGGAACTGAGTTCTAAGATGTTGCTGGATTGTGCGGTGGCAGAAATAGTGTAGAGGAGGATACTGTTGATTAAAAAAATACAAGGCTTATAAAATGAGGATTTCCAGGGTATCACACTATGAATGTGGCGACAATATATTGAATGGGGAGAAAACTGAGTAACTACTTGGAAGAAGTGATCAAGTGAGTGGCAACATGGTTTTGGCAGCGACGGCAAAAGAGGATACACTCTTGGGTCAAAATGTGAACTGCGGGCAACCTCCAATTGATGCAGAGGAGTGTGCCGGTCCTTTCCCTGACCCCAGGGGTGTGTGGAGGGAGGGAGGGAGGAGCAGAGAGACCCTCAGGGAGGAGTGTTAATGCTGACCTGTCCGCAGCTTCACTTAGAAAAACGCTCAGAGGAAAAGAAGGCAGCGAGGAGGAGAGGGCAGAGCCGTGTGCCGTTAAGCTCAGCTGTGCGGGGCCCGGCGCCCACAGCCTCGCGTTCAGGAGTTACAGGCACAGCTGCACACAGAGGCGTCAGCCGCCGTTTGCTGTCATCCTTCCCCCGTCCAGCCGTTGGTCGGAGACACTTCTGCTTGAGAAGGGGTCCCTGTGCTCCCTCAGGAAGAACAGCAAGCGTCGAGCGGGGAGGCCTCAGAGGGTGCTTGGCCTGACGTTCTCACCTCAGTGGACAGAAATCGAGGCATGGGACGTTTAAGTGCCTGCATTGAGATGCTAGAACTTGTCACAGCCAAGATGAAAAGCCAGGCCCCTTATGTCAGGCAAAAATATTTTTCACTAAACATTTTTCTCTACTGTAGTTATTATATTAGCTGCTTTTTTCCCAGAGGAAAAAGAATGCTGTTTATTTTTTAGAGAGAGTAACAATAATGATATGCACATATATGCATAAATATATACATTTATATATACAAGGTGGGTCAAGAGCAGGTTTACAGTTGTGCATACGTGGAAGTTTATTCTTGTATTTATTAATTACTATTTTCCATATGAACTATAAGCCTACTTCTCCTCCACCCTGTAAATTATGCGATACATAATCTATTCCTATATTACTTGTAGATTACCACATGCACACATACATTTATTTCAGTGGCAATAGCTGTTTGCTGAGGGCGCCACCTTTTCTGTCTCCCCGGGGACTGATGCGCCCTCTCTTGGTGTGTCCGTCTGTGGCCACGTCACGGTCTCTCTGAGTCTCCATCTGAGCAGCGGGGCAGAGCCGGGCACTTGGTGAGCTCTAAATTTCCTTCGGAAAAGGTCATTGGACAAAAATCAAACTGAATTTGTGCAAACTTGAATAGAAGTCTGATGAGGACTTGCAAAGGTCAGCACAGGGATGTGTCTGTGAAACAGCTTACCCTCATCAGGGTTCCACCAGGAGCGGACCCGAGCAGAGCGCCAAAGCGCAAGTTCATCTGGGAGGTGAGGGCCCGGGAGGCCGTGCCGGCAGGCAGGTGGGCGCCCCCTGGGGAACGAGCCTGTGTTCGTCGGGGAATTCTGGGAACCGCAGGGCACAGGCCTTGGCCATATCGGCCTGGCGCAAGGACTGAGGTGTCTGTAGTCCGCAGCCTCTGTCCTAGCGGTGTGCAGGGGGTCAGCTGCCGTGCCACTGTGGTCAGAACACGTTGGAGTTGGGCAGCGCCCCCTAGTGGCGAGGATCCGAGTCAGAGCCGGGCTCTGGCAGGTCTGCTGCCCAGCTGTTTGTCTTGTTAGGTGACAGAGAGGCTCAGAAAGGGCAGCGGGACAGATTTCCACTTTCTGCATCACCCAAAGTTGACCAGGTTCCCGAGTGAGCGCACAGTTTTAGCAGAGGACCTGATTGGGGTCTAAGAACAGCCACAGTGAATTTCTTGAGGGCAAAAGGTGAGGTAGACAGTCCCAGGTGCATGTGTGGCTGCCTCTGGGCTGAAGTTAACGCAAGAGGCAGGAGGTCTGCATGAGCAAACACGGGTGACGGGGCTCGAGGACTCCCTCCGGCTGCGTGTTCCCCGGGGACAGCCCACTCGGCCGCCAGCCGGTCAGGGGCCTCAGGCTTTTCGAGTCTTTTTTTTGTGTAGTGTGCTCCCCAGTGTTTTTCATGATGGCAGTGGTCTTCTTCAGGGTGCCTGCCAATTCCTCCCACTCTCAGTAGGTGCCATGGATGTCGTTCCCTCTGGGGAGCAGCGGCAGAAGGTGTCTGAGGGTGGTCCTGAACTGCCGAAGCTTTGTGCCCACGTGCAGTACTGCTTTTGGCCCCTGGAAGCGTGGTGTGCTTCCAAAGCCCTCGCCGCCAAACCTGGCAGGGCGTAAATTCACCATTTTTCAAATGGAAGAGCTCGCAGCTTGTGGGGTAACATGTCCCGGGATCTTGCGTGCAGGGAGTTCCTCTTTTGCGTCTGCTCAGTTGTGAGTGATGGACTCAGAGTCTGAGAGCCCGCAGTCCCTGTACAAAACCACCACCAGCGATGCAGAAGCCTCAGTGACCTCTTTGAGGGACCAGCAATTCACGCAACACTAGTGACAACAGGGAAGGAGACAGTTTCCTGGGAGATGCCCATGCAGAAGGCAACTTAGCTGCTGATTCCACGCTTTCAGTTTTGTGGGGCCAGCGACAGCGTGCCCGGGGCGGCTGCACAGCCTCAGGAGGGGCACCCGGTCGGGGTCAGCACGGCTCTGCAGACTTTTAAGGAGACTTTCTTCACGAGAGCTGTTGGCGTTCGTACCCGCTGGACCCTGTCACCCCACATCGTGGCCGCCCACCCATGCCCGCCGCAGCCTCATCTGCCACGCAGTCCCGTGACTGGCGTTTAGCAGCGACCCCGAGTCATGTAAATTATGTTCAATGCTGATGGGTCAATTAAGAAGAGAGGGAAGCAATACATTTTTCAGAGACGTTCACTCTAAAGGTTTGAAATAATGCATTAGCACGTAAAGGTTACTGATTTAATGGATAGTTAAGACCTTTGTCCAAATCACTAATTTTTGAATGGTGCTGGAAAAGTCGTCCTAGCTCCATAGCCCTCCTCTGTGTCTCAGCAAAGCATTAAGTTGTAGCAGGAAAGAAAAGAGGACGGTGGGGGGAGCGTCTGCATTTGGAGGGCTCCCTGTGTTCTGATGTGTTCTTCCAGCAGCGTGAAAGTGGGAAAACATGTCCCCCCAAGGGAAGCCCGCGGAAACAGAGCTTTCCTTTCCGAATGGAGAGAGTTACTGGGTTACTCTCTCCCAGAAGGTTTGTCTAAGAGCCAGTGTGGGGGTAGTGGCAAGTCGCACTTCCAGGCTGTGGTCCTTGAAATGAAAAATTCAACGGTCTCCTACTTAGTCCTTTGTGACATATACTTGATTAATTTTACAATTGTTTTCCATAGTTACTCTTTTAACCATTTCACTCATTTCCAGCACAAGGCCTAACAGACTGACAACTTTGTCTTGCATTTACCAACTTAACAAATTATTATAACTAACCTCGAATTCAGTTTTTCATACTGATGAATCAGTATTTTTTTCTGATTTTTCTGTCTGATCAGTCATGTGTATTCCATGCTTTCCTAGCTTCTCTTTTAATTTTTAATTTGTGTTTAAAAATAAACATATTGCTACTGTTTCCCTGTTGCTCCTTTTTATTTCACTTCACTTGCCTTTTGTATTTTGTCACAGTCACGAAGCAACAGCAGGTGCTATGTGCGCTACTCGGCCCCGCCCTGCTGACGCACGTGGCTCTGCAGCAGCCCAGTGCCCGCAGCTCCATCCTCACTCCAGAAGCGGGGACGCTGGAGTGCGGGGAGGGCAGGGCACTTGCCTGAAACCTGCCCGGACTCTGACTCACCTCCTGGGCTCGAGTCCACGCGCGTAACCCGTGCAGGACGAGGCGTGCGACAGCCGTGTGCGGGATCACGCCCCGGCGGCCCCAGCGCTGCAGCCTTGACGCCCCGGGAGCCGCGGCTTCTCTCGTGTCCTGTGCTTTCGTTTCTCTCTGCCACTCCCAGGCATTTCCCCAGTCTTGTTACCTTTCTGACACTTTGTTTAGGTTTAATTACCCAGAGCTAAATACAGATTGTATCTCTATTTGCCTTCCATGAGCCTTGGGGATACGAATAATAAGATCTGACCAAAAAGTGACAAATTTTAACTCCGAGGCAGGGGTGAAAAGAAACCTGTGTTTTGAGTAATTGGAATTCCTGGCTTCTCTGACTTAACGCTGTGACCCTGCAGTGATGGGCAGTTCCGCGTTCTGCCCCTCGGGGGTGCTCTGGTTCGCACCCAGGAGCCCCTGGGTGGACACCTTAGGCCCAGGTTGCCACGTGACGCGTCCGCGGAGGCCGTACTCCCACTGGCGATCGGGTCGAAGCCGGATGCCCCCGCGCCCCCGCCATGCTCTGCGAGTAGCTTCATCTAAACCCACACCCACCTTGGCGTTCTGGGCTTGTCTGAATTGTGTGCCTTCTAAGCCAGTGATTGTGTTTGCTTCCTGCGAGATCCTGGGGCAGGGTGCGCACCCCACTCGGCCGGCTCTGCCCGAGCGGCGCCGGCCAGATGGTACTTGCGCCTCCTCTCCAGCGCCCAAGAGCCGCCAGGGGCCTCGTGCCCCCTGGGTGTGGGGCCGCGTCCTTAGGCTGGAATCTTCGGGTGGGCAAAGGCAGACCAAACATTGTGCTTCTGCTGGGAGGCCTGTTTCCAGCTCTCTGCCAACTTTGTCCAACCTTGGACTGCCCTGTGCATGAACCACGAGGAGAAAACAGCAGTCACCTTTGATCCCAGAGGCGGCCCCACTTTCGGAAGCCAAGTAGCAAACAAAGCAATGGAAAGCCAACTGGGCCACTGCCCTTGATTGCAGAAAACACAGTGCAGAGCCTTCTCGGCCATTGCAGTCCTAGGTCGCTCTCGGTGACATTATTTCCAGACATTTGTTACATCCTCAGAGATTTTTCTTCCTCCTGAGGATAGAAATAATTCAGAGTTACAGCCATAACAGTTTTAGGCAAAGAGCTAAGTAGCACATGAATTACATGCCGCACACTCAGTTTTATATTAGTTAAAATTAAACAAGTCCTTGCTTTCAGGGGCTCATAGTCCAATGGGAGATTGAGTGAAAGTAAGTGATTTTAAGAGAATGTGACAGATACCACAGAAAAGGAATAGTTCATCCCAGGGCGTTGGTGTAGACGAACCCATGAGGCGACGTCCTGCCTTTGAAAGGTGCTCCAGGTTTGCAGCGTTAGAAGAGGGAGTGTGTTTAAGGTTGCCAGTGGCCCGTGCAGCGGTGGGAGGCGGCAAGGAGACCACGGGCGGGAATGGCCTGGCTGGCGCTTGGTGAACGTGCGCGGTTCCCCTCTAAGTGAAAGAACCAATCAGTGGCTCTTGGGCGGGGTGCGGGGCGGGGTGGGGGGCAGGCAGGCAAGGGGGTCGGAGCCGAGGCTGTTGAGGTCAGACCGTGGAGTGAGGGGCTGAGATGCCCTGCCAGGGGTCAGAGGTCAGGGAAGCTGCTGAAGATTTTACCCAGGGATTGACATCGATTAAATGTATGTTTTCAGGGCAGATGAAAAGGTTTTAAACCTTTTTCATCTCATGGCATACATTAAGTAGTTATTACAATTCTGCAGCACGCCAAAAAAATTTTTTTTCTGAGGAAAAAAAACAGGTGTAATTTTGATTAATTCACACCAGATGGCTATTGTTGTGTTGGCTGTTGTCATTTTTTTATTTCACAATCTAAGGGAAAAGAGGACAGGGCCGTGAGTAAATAGTTTTGAAAGTTCTTCTGGCACACTGGTTGAAAATTGCCCCGTTAGAGTATTAACTGCCTCTAGCCTGGAGGATGGATTAGGAGGGAGGAGAGGTAAGAGTCAGGAAGGAACCGCAGGCTAGTCAATGAAATGAATTTAGCCAATGAATCAGGACACGGATTTAATGAAATTCAGTGATGAGATTAGGGAAAATGAGAACGTGGAAGAGGATTCAAAGATAACCTGAGGCTTTTAGCTTGAAGATGTGGGTGGATGATGGACCAGAGAAAACATTTTATGTGTATATGTACAGAAAAAGGTTATGTGTTAAGTTTTGGAGAAATAGGTTAGAGGTACTTGGAGACATTCTGGGTGAGTGTCCGGAAAACAGTTCGGATGTGCCATTTAAAACTGGCCTGGAGGTGTCAGCCTCAGTTCTTGCCCCTCCCCCTCAGCAAGGCGCAGGTTGCCTGCTCAGTGACCAGCCCCAGGCGGCGGGCAGCCCAGGCGCTTAGTGCCGCGATGTGTGTGCCGCGTGTGGAGGAAGGGCTAGGTTTCATTCACGTTTATTCCAAATTTGTGAAATGAAAATAAGTTCATGTAACTTAGGTGGAATGTAAGATGTAAGATTAGGCTGATGCAGAATTGTCCACACAATAGAAGACAGGTAGGGAGTGTTCATTTGCTGTCGGCATTATGAGGCGTGACTGGGTGTAAGAACTGATGAAGTATTGAGATTTAATGCAGAGTAAATAGAAACAGACATTGCATCCTGCTTTGTGATGAGAGTTTCTAAAAGTGTTTCCTTTTTTCCAGGTTTAAAAAGTTATTTGCACAGATCGAAGCAAAATAATCTTTTAATTAGTTGAATTTCCTTTTTATTGTTATGTTCCCATTCTCATTTCTTTTTTAAATTGATGTAATTGACATGTAACATTATGTTTACTGTCAGGTGCACAATGTAATTTGATATTTGTGTCTGTTGTGGAATGAGCACCACAGTGGGTCCGGTTAACATCCAGCACCACACACAATTACAGTTTTTCTTTGTGATGACAACTTCTCAGATCTACTCTCAGCAATTTTCAAATATACAGTCGAGTATTATTAACTATAGTCACCTTGCTGTAAACCTCATCCCAGAGAAAGATGTGATCTTACTTACACGTGGAATCTAAAAAAAGAAAAAGAAACCAAAAAACCATCCCAACTCCTCAGTACAGAGAACACCAGGTGCGCCCTCCATCCAAGACCCGACTCAGCCCCGAACTTGGGAGAGGGCTGCAAGCTTGCTCTCTGAGGCGCCCCGGGCGCTGCTCCCTCTCTTGCCTTCCCTGGCAGGACTGCCTGCTGGCTGAGCTGTGTGGTGTCTTCGCCTTGTCCTCACCAGACAACCGTGGTTGCCTCGTCTGCGGTCATCAGCCCCCACGCAGACACAGCCTGCCCCTGTCAGAGTGCCATGTGACCTGCACGCGGAGCACAGGGGATTTAGACAGGGTGGGGCAGACGAAGGATTGCAGTTGTTCGTACTGCAAATAATACAGTAATTAACAAATGATCATACAAGGATAAACTCTCTGTTTTGCACACTCGCAACTGTAAACCTGCTTTTACCCGGCCTTGTGCTTCAAACTGAGAGATGTGAGCAGAGGGAAGGCAATCGATCATTGTAGACAAGCTGACCGCGTATTTCCCCTCCCCCTTTCTCTCTCTTTTTAATGTTTAGGTATTCTGGAAGTCTTGCACTGCGTGTTAGTAGAAAGTCCAGAAGCTCTAAATATTATCAAAGAAGGGCACATTAAATCCATCATTTCACTTTTAGACAAGCACGGAAGAAATCACAAGGTGCGTGAACCTGGTCATGCCGTAAGTGGATTCTGATGTAACTTTGAGTGTATTTTTAAAATGAGATAACTTTTAAAAAGTGCGTCAGATGTTTCATGAGAGCTCTTCCTCCTCATTGTCATCAGGCGATAGCGCCTAGTGTTTGTTCTTGGTGTCGGTGGGAGAGTGGCTGTCCTCAGCTAGAGGGCGAAGGGCAGCTGTTAAGTAAGGGGCCGCGGTGCTGCGTGGTGAAGGGGCTGCGTCAGAGGGAACTGGCGGGCGCACTTGCGTCTGTGCCCGGTGCTGCCGGTCCTTGGCTCTGGAGGGCGAACTGGACTCAGCTGGCGGTCATCTCTCCCCTCAGGTCCTGGACGTTCTGTGTTCTCTCTGCGTTTGCCACGGGGTGGCTGTCCGCTCCAACCAGCACCTCATCTGCGACAACCTCCTTCCTGGACGGGACCTGCTGCTGCAGACGCGCCTTGTGAACCACGTCAGCAGGTCAGTTCCGAGGGGCAGTGTCACAGATGGGTGGCCTGACTGAGGAATTCACACGCTGGTTCTGTAGCGGAGACATCGGGTGCTCTATTTGTTTTATCAGTGTTTTAAAAATCTATTCCCCTAGTTAATAGTATAAGAACTTTTTTCTACAAAGAAGAATTTTTTCTATTTTCTATTAAAAATAGAGGAACCAAGCAAATATGCGTTTGTCCCAGGCAGATGCATCAGAGCTTCTGTCTCACATTGTTGTGTAGCTGGACTCTAACTGATGTTCAGGAGCAGAGGGACAGCCATGGAAGATCTAGTTGGACAGAATTCTGTTTTACATCTTGAACTGTGACTAAAAACACTGCCCTTTGATAAGAACTTTGAAGTGCTCTCCACATATAATCAAAATATTGAATTAGAATGTCCAAAAGATAGTAAGTTGCACAAATAACCAGCCAATGAAACTACATTTTCAGGTGGACCCAGCTTCCAAGGTGGGAAACAGGGAGGACGGGGCGCAGCCCGTGTGGCAGGCTCTGCGGGCGCCCTGCCCTGTCCCGTGTTTTCTCTGGGTGCTGCTCTCCACGTTTTACAGGTTGAAGTTTGGGACCTGGGCCCAGAGCCCAGGGTCTCGCTCCAGAGACTGAGTGCATGCCATGCTGCCTGCCTTGTACAAGATGATAATAGTAATAATGATAAAAATACAGCTCATAGTGAAGAAAACACTCTGTGATACAGTAATGCCTGTGATGCCCTGCACCTAGCGGCTGTCCAGGGAATACTGATTACTTCATGGTTTTAAACAAAAATGTGGGGATTTGGTGTGCACTTTTATATTGTGCTATTAAAACAGGATTGATTGGAGACGTCCTTCCTGGTTCTCTGCAGCTGGGCTCCCCAACCCCCGGGCCGCGGACCGGTTAGGAACCAGAGCCTGCCAAGCTCCTGAGCTCTGCCTCCTGTTCCCTTCCCCCACCTTCTACAAAACTGGCCCCTGATGCCGGAAAGGTTGGGGGCCACTGCTCTATAGAACAGGGCTGCTGTCCATGCGGGGAGTTTCCTGAGACCTTGGTGATCCCTAGCGTTGACACAAGGTGCAAGTCCCCTTCTGAAATCCAATTGCATACAGCTAACTAGAAACGCCTGTGTTCATGTGGAGGCAGGGAGAACAACCAGCCGCTCAGTCGCCTTGCTCCTTCAGTAACAACGTGACCTGCTTCGCCCTCATACCCTGACATGAAGCCTAGCTTACAAAGACATCTTCATGTCCTGGATCAATAACTCCATTGATTCTAAGGGCAGACTATACTGAGTGTCTCTCCATAACCAGGGTTAATGGAATGAAGTATGCTCAAGGGCAATTGAGAAAAAATAGCATTAGTCCCTTGAGTGCCGTGGCCAGGGACCCAGGAAGCAGAGGCTGCTCCTTGTGCGTTCTCTGCGTGGCCGGCTGCCATGCCGCATCCCCGTGACTGTCTTGGTCACTGTGTCGTGCTTAGGGAACACGCCTTTGGTATCTCGGAAGAGCAGCACTGATGTTCAGAAGAGTGAGGTGCAGAACTCACCAGAGGGAAGCCTGCACGGGTTTCCTCACGTGCGTTTCTGTCTCTCTCAAGCATGAGGCCCAACATTTTCCTGGGCATCAGTGAAGGGTCCGCCCAGTACAAGAAGTGGTACTATGAGCTGACGGTGGACCACACGGAGCCCTTCGTGACAGCCGAAGCCACTCACCTGCGCGTGGGCTGGGCCTCCACAGAGGGGTACTCGCCCTACCCTGGCGGGGGCGAGGAGTGGGGCGGCAACGGCGTGGGAGATGACCTCTTTTCCTACGGCTTTGATGGTCTGCATCTCTGGGCAGGTGAGTGCTGTCCCCTCTCTTTCCCCGCGTTTGGAGGGAGGCTTTGCCTTGCTGTCCGTTTCTGAAAGCTGCTGATGCGGCTTATATCGGATACATTTATTATTCAGAATTTGAACGTTGAAATGATGAATGACAGTGTAAAGTAAAAAGCAAAATTTCACTGGGGGAAAAAAGAAAAGTTATAGTGCATTTTCAAAGGATTGCATTGCTTATGAACAATGTACAGCAACCCCCCCCCCATCTGCCGGGGATGTGTTCCACGACCCCCAGTGGATGCCTGAAAGTGTGGATTGTACTAAACGCCTGTATGTTCTAAAACCTTTGCTATACAAACAAGCCTTTTCACCTGAAGGAAGCCCGTGACGGCTTCCCTCGGCGTGTCCGGATCACCAGCACCGCCGCCCGTGCGCCTCGGGGCCCTGACCCAGCCGGCGAGCACTGCGATGGCCCCACAGTCGTCGCGAGGGCGGCCATGCGTCCGCCGGCAGGGAGCGCGGGCAGCCGGACCCGCGGACGGGGGACGACTCCCGTCCCGTGGGGGGAGCGGGCAGCTCGGGATCCCATCACGGTGCTCAGAGCAGCATGCAGTTTGAAACTTATTGTTTACTTCTGGAATTTTCCATTTGTTGTTTTCAGACCCTGGTGGACCATGTTGAACTGAAACCATGGAAAGCAAAATTTTAGATAAGGCTGGACTTTCGTATTTAAAATGCCATTTTGATTTATGAAGCAACTGCAAAAAACTTAACTTGTTTCCGACTTACTTTAATTGGTGTTTGTGGAGCTTTAGCTTCCCACATGAAAAAGAATCAAATACAGTCCCTGGGAAATAATTGGAAAAAATAGACTAAGTTCCACCTCCTGGTAGATAATTCAACCTCAAGAATCTGTGATTTGTAACCTGTATTGTGAGGAATCCGTCTATAGTCATGTGACACTTTGTTTCAGAAATGTGGAACTGCTTAAAAGTAAATGTATAGTTCATTTCACCAGCTACCAACTCTCAGCTTTCATAGTTGAGTATGTATAAAAAATGAGTCATATGTATATATGTACATAAACGCACATACACACATACACAGATGTGTATATATGGACTGTTTTCTGAGAGCTGCATTGCTTTCATGTAATTTTTTAAAAAGTTGTCTTTATGATATTCAGGGAATTCTGGAAGAATTACTTGATGGCGATTTTATTGCTTGCAGGTGTGAATATCAGTAAGCTAAAAATGCACACATTTTAAAACTAGGCCTGCTCTATTGCTAGCATTTTAAACATGCTGGGAGTAAAACATGCCAGAAGTTTAAAGGGTGTCATTAGGAATGCAAGGCTTGTATCATGAAATGTATGTTTGTCTTTGCTCAAGTGGAGAAGCTCTGTGTGTGTGTGTGGGCGAGTGTGTGGGAGAGCCTCGCCTCCTGGGCTCCCCGTGCACCCGGGGTCCCGTCTGCAGAGCAGCTCCGAGGGCGTCAGGAGTGGGCTGGGCTGGTGCGCAGCACCGCCGGTGCCGACCAGCTACCGTTTTCATGCCTCAGGCCGTGTGCTGCTGTGCTTGAGAAGCCGACCAAGATCTTACGTGAAGTAAATGGTGAAACAGCAAACCAGTTGGCATGTATTTGTGTCTAGCAAACAACGTATGAGTGAACAGTCATGTTTTCTGCTTTCATTACTCTTGTGTATTTTTATTTTATGAAACAGAGGAAATCTAGTAGTTTAAAAAAGGACTGACATGCACCACCTGCTGTGTCTAAGACCCCACAGGGTGATGGCCTTTGGTTCAGAGAAAACCAGGTTTAGCGACGCTAAGTCAGTGCTGACGGCCCCACAAGGGGTAGCTGGTAAAGCAGCTGTTTGAACTCAGTCTTCCCCTGGATTTCCCTCTGACATCACTGTATTATGAGCTCTAAGATAATTTTTGCATAAAGTGCCATCTGTCTATGTGCAGAAGTTTCTGCATATCAGAAGGGCCATTTTATAATAAAGCACGGCGTCTGAAAAAGCAGGCGGCATCTTTTTGACAAAGGACTTAACCTGAAACATCCGTATGTATTCCAGCTTCTGTTTTAGTGTTGTGCACGGATTGGTCACTGCCCGCTCAGACCTGAGGATGGTTCTCTAAGATAAACACAACTTCCCTCCTTCGTGTTTTCCTGAAGGTTGCATCGCGAGCACGGTGAGCTCCCCAAACCAGCACCTGCTGCGGACGGATGATGTCATCAGCTGCTGTTTAGACCTGAGCGCCCCAAGCATCTCATTCCGAATCAATGGACAGCCTGTTCAAGGCATGTTTGAGAATTTCAACATTGATGGCCTCTTCTTTCCCGTCGTCAGTTTCTCTGCGGGAATAAAGTTAGTATTTCTGTGTTTTTGGTCTGTTCCCCGTCTTGCCTGTGCTCCCCGGTCACCGCACTGCCATCACCCTGCTTCCCTGTCACTCCCCCGGCTGTCCCCAGGGCACCTGCCTGTTCCTTACAGGCAGGGGCAGGGTTCACCCCAGGGGGGATCTCGGGAGGCTGGGGGCCTCGTCCACATTTCCATCCCCCCGCTCGCCCCTCCTCCCAGTGTCCTGAAATATCTCAAGTTCATGTAAGTTCACTTTTTTATTTAATAAGGGGAAATGAACAACACTCTGTAAAAGATACTGCTTATTTTTTTCTGTTTAGTTTTATTAGTTTCCTTTTCATCACATTTCCACACCCCAAAGCCCCTCATTTCTACAGAAACTAAATGTGGTCTTGTTTTTGGTCAAGACCGCTGCTCTCTGTGTTAACCTCCAGCTGGTACACCTGTGAATTACCTGCCTGTGATCAGCCGACTCAGTGGTTTCACCTAACCCTTCGCTTTTTTGCTATTATCAGATGGAAAGAGAAATTAAAACGATAATTCTTCTGAGTGTTGCAGAGAGAACTTTACAGACGTTGGTCCACTGTGGGAAGGGCCCCGGTGACCTATTGTGTTAACACCTGTGTGTCTGTACCTGCTTAGCGAGGACGCTCGCTTCCCATGATGGACCAGCCATCTATTCTGGCTGCTCGTTTTGTTGGATTCTACCCGGAGGAGTAATCGCTAGTTACAGAAGCTCCATACGGAAGGGACAGAGTGGTGATAAAATATTAGCTATCCATACACCAGTGACCTTTTCTTGTGTGTTTATAGAAGTTTTTTTCTATAAGCTTCTGGTGTGGTTTAAAGTTTTTGCTTTTTCCCATTTTTTGTTTTTTGCTTTTTATTTTATTTATTTGACTGTATTTTTTGGCCTGGAACTGAAACACAAATTAGAAAAAGAATTACAAAGAAGATGAAAATTTGGATTTATTTTTGTAAGCTGAGAGCCCAAGAAATCAGCATTTAGCTGTTTCAAAAAGGATTATTCAGTAGGACGCAGATTAAATTATTTTCATTAAATGAGTATGATATATAAAAGACTTTAGTAAGGTTTTGGTGGATGAATAAGCTTAAGAAGTAAGGTTACCTTTTTCTGCAGCAGTGGAAATGCCATTTGAGTCCCTTTCAAATCACTGCGCGACAGGACCCTGGGATGTGACCTCGCCCAGGCCTGAGATGTGCAGAGGCTTAGACTACGTCTGCTCCTTCTCTGGTGATATTCAGGCACCCGGAGGCATCACATGGCCGAGGCCTGTGGACAGGACTTTCGTCCCCGGGGACTTGGTGTGACGCCTGTGCTTTCATTGCTGCTCCAGTGTGGGATGTGCGCCTGCTGATCCGTGGCCCCAGTTCAGTCAGCTTTTCTCCTTTGGTCCCATTTGCCTCGTATGATTAGAGGCTCTTGGACTGGAAGGGGCCAGCACGATGATGATACTTAGTGGAAAAAACGTGGCTTCAGATTAAGTCAATTTTGTGCTAACAGTTCGTTCCTCGTGCTTTGTAGATTGTGAATCTTCTGTGCGCCCTGAGACCTAACTGACACCGACATGTCCTTTTCAGGGTACGCTTTCTGCTTGGGGGGAGACACGGAGAGTTTAAATTCCTTCCTCCCCCTGGCTACGCTCCTTGCTACGAAGCCGTCCTGCCGAAGGAGAAGTTGAAAGTGGAGCACAGCCGAGAGTACAAGCAAGAGAGGACTTACACGCGGGACCTGCTGGGCCCCACCGTGCCCCTGACGCAGGCTGCCTTCACGCCGGTCCCCGTGGACACCAGCCAGGTATGGCCGCCGCCTCTGTGATGCAGTCGATAGGTGTGACTGGAACAAGTCTCCCAGAAGGACACTCCCCTTTGCCGTGCCATCTTACCTATTTTCTATTCTACTGTTTTATTCTCTGTGAGTGGTCCTAAGGCACTATGCCAGCTTCCTAACACAGTAATGGGAACACGTAAGAACTCTAGAGAGTGCTTTTTACATGGTGTAGGCGTGGAGCTTTCATTTCTCCCAGCTACGTGCACTCACGTTTTTGAAGTGAGCCTGACCTTGGGTAGAGCTGAGCTCATGGGCTTACAGTCAAAATGCCTGGGATCAGGTGCCTCCTCGGGGCACAGAGTGAGTTACTCATTTGGCTGATGGGGATGCTAAGAGCCTGTCTAATCAAGCTAGTAAGTAACCTGTTAGCACAACATTAGCCATTATTGTGTTATAGAAATGTTAGCCACTATTGTTGCCTTTCTGCTTTATTGATGTGAGAAAGTCCTGACATTGACAGCAAACTAAATGTTGCTTTATTTTGATGGCAAAATAACTTCGAGGGGGTTGGTTAGATATTCAAAGCTTATTAGTTTTTCAAGATTAAAGGCATTGCTTTTAAAGTATGAACTAGAATTCATACCAGACCTCAGAAGCTTCAGCTTTTTGGAATCACTCATTTAGCTCCTTGAATCCTTTTTTCTTTTTCGTCTCTCTCAGTGGCTTTTTACATTCTGTGTTAAAACAACTCACAAACCTTTTTAGTGGCTGAAATTCAGTTTGTGTGGTGTTGCTGCGAGGTGGCAGGCTACACGCGGTGCTGCCAAAGTTCAGTGGTGACCGAGTGGGAGGAGGAGCGTGGGCTGGGACGGACAAGTGGGTATCAGGGTCACACACCGAGGATGTCCTGACGCCTGGGCAGCCCCGCCTGCGCCAGGGAGAGGCGGTCGGAGAGCCCGCTCCCGCAGGATCCGCCCTCCATGCACATCCTGGGCCCTCGCTGCTGTTTGTTGAGGGAGCAGTTGTGGGTGACGCAACACCTAACCTTGAAAATCATTTTATGCTCCTTATGGAAAAGTCACTAAACTTCCTCTTTATAATGGGAGCATGTAAGTTTTACCCCTTGAGGACTGTGTTTGGAAACCACTAAAAATAACAGAGTGAAGAGAAGATAGAAGTCACTTGATCAGATGCTCATGCCAGGGAGTCGTGTCTGTCTGCTGAGTGGACCGGGCCCCCGGTCCGGTCTGCGATGTGGCCGTGTTGGAACAAGGACTTTGCACGATTCCTCTTAAATAACACGCGTGCCAGTGGGCGGCCCACCCCTTCTTGATGGGGCTGGCCCACCAAGCTCTGCTTTCCTTCTGCTTAACCTTGGTTCATACATTGGGAACCTAAGTTGCCACCCCACCCATAGAAAGGGTCCCAAAATTTATCTATAAAGAATGTTTAGATAACTAGTTACATTTTTATAACTAGGTTATACTAGATTGTTTAGAACCTAGTTATATTATTACATTTTAATGGTGTATGAGACAGTTGTAGTCCAGTTACAGTGAGGGCAATTAGTGATGTTTTATTGTATATTTTTCTTATGTGCTTTCTTTTCCTTTTCCTTTTCTTCAATTTTAGATTGTGTTGCCTCCCCACCTGGAGAGGATCCGAGAAAAGCTGGCAGAGAATATCCATGAGCTCTGGGTTATGAACAAAATTGAGCTTGGCTGGCAGTATGGCCCGGTACATAGTTTTGAAATTTATGCATGTTCTCATAAGCGTCTGTTCTTTTATAATGATTTCTTACAGTGGTTTTTTATAGATTTGAGAGAGAGGGAGAGAGACGATTTGTTGTTCCACTTATTTACACATTCATCGGTCAGTTCTTGTATGTGCCCTGACTGGGGATCGAACCCCCAACCTCATGGTATCTGGACGGTGGACCAACTACGTGAGCTACTGGGCCAGCGCTAATGGCTGTTCTTCCAGTGAACCTCAGTTCCGCCCACACCTCCTCCCGCGGCTGTGCTCAGAGCCACCTCTCAGTTTCTGATCCTGCAGGGGGTACAGTTCCTCAGAGCTGTCCTTGATACAGCGGTCCCCAGCTGTCCCCAGCTGTCCCTTCTCTGGCCTGAGGCAGATCACAGCAGCCTCGGTCTGTGAGCCTGGGGCACCCGCCCTGCTGCAGCGGCTGTGGGGGGAAGGCCCAGCCCAGGGATCCCGTCACAAGATCCCAAAGTTGAGAGCTTCTCAGGTTCACATGTGAGGAGGGCCCGTATCCTTTCATCTAACAGTTTCCCTGTGTCCCTCGTCCTCATGGGCTTCCAGAAGACTCCTTTCTGAGAAGTGGTCGTGAGCCCTGCCCTCATGGCCTCTGTGATTCTAAACATAGACACACCCTGTTTTTAGGCTGATACCGAGCATTTGGTAACATTTTAACTGAAGGACTCAAGTATGATTAGCTTCGGAGTAATTTAAATGTCCCAGTGAGCTGAATATTTTGGTTTTTGCTTTTGTTTTTGCGGAGGACGCCTGTCCTCTGATGTCTGTGGGCCTCCTTCCCAGGAGCATCCTGCTGGAGCTCTGGTTTGTGGGGCACGGCGGCAGATCGTGCCCGGCATTCCCCTCATCCTTTAACATTGATTATATGCCTACTGTTTGCCTGGCCTTGGTTTGGTGCTGGAGTCTCAAAAAAAAAAAAACCCCAAAACACCTCCAAAACCCCCTGACTTTGAGTCAGTCTGCCTTGTAGGAGCTTCTAGTTTAGTTGAATGATAGGCATGCAAACAGTCCCAGGCTGAGTACTTAGCAGGGATGCAGACAAAGTGGAGAGGAGATACTTAGGTCTCTCCTGGGAAGTCAGAGAAGGCTTCCAGGAGGAGGTGAATCTTTGCTGAGGCCCTCAGGATGAGTCAATCAGTTCTCTGCAGTCAGGGAGCAGGGCACTTGCATGTGTGACTGGCCAGGGGTTAGGGCACTGTGGTGACGTCCCAGGAGCTCGGCCAGAAGACAACAGAGGTGCTCCTGGGACAGAGGACGCAGGTGAGAGGTCTGTCCAGGTACACAAAGGGCTTGTGGCAGGACAGGGTTCAGTCTGTAGGGGGTGAGGAGCACTGAAGAATGGAGGGGGAGGAGGCGTGCATGGCGTGCGTCCTCTGTGCATTGGAAAGGAGCTCAGCTGTGGGGTGGGGACGAAGGTGGCCCAGGTGAGATGGGGGGGTGCCTGCCCCGGGGCTGAGAGCGGTGCCGGCGGGTGTTCCCGTGGGGGCTGAGGGGAGGCAGGGAGGAGACCGGCAGGTCCCTGGCTCTGGCGTGGACTCCAGGGAGGACGCGGGGGACGGGGTGGGAATCACTTGAATGGCTGGATTATCTCAGGACCGGGGCATGTTCGTTTTCACATCCGTGTTTGGAATTCAGAGTTAAATTTTGTAACTTTAGGTTCCATGTCCAGAGGTACACATTTAAATAAGTGTATAATGTATCCTTTCTGTAAATCCTGTTCATTTGTACCAGTCACCAGAAAGAAAAGAATAAATATGTCCTTTTTAACGTGGGGAACCCAAAGACTTTTAAAAAGTTTTGCCCGTGTTTGCATGCTTTCCTGTGGCATTTATAGAACCTGGCGACTGTCCCCAGGGAGTCGGACTGCTCATTCCCGGGCAGCATGCGCCTGCCACCCAAGAGCCACACCGCTGTGAGGCCACTCGGGTCTCTGAGAAGATGAAAGTCTGGTTACTAGCGCAGTGACACAGGGCAGCTTTCTCATGAGTTCACTGCGAAAATCTTGAATCTAGCCTGATTTCTAACATACACTTTCAAGGGTTAATATGAAAACTCTCAGGGTGCAAACCAGCCTGGCTGAGGCAGGCGGGGCTGTGCCAGCCGGGAGGAGCGTCTGGCGGGGGAAGGAAGGGCCGGGAGGCCTCGCGGAGCCTTCACTGCTGACCGGGCGGCCAGGAGACACGTCGGGGCCCGAAGCAGTGCGACTCTAAACACCTAAAAGTGTGTGTCGCTAAGCCCTTTCGACACAGACTCTGTGTCGGCGCAGAGAACGGGCTGTGCGTGAACCGCGTGCTGGGCGCGCGCTCAGTGCTGGGGCTGCTTCCGAGAGCAGGACAGGCCGAACCCGCGGTCCTCTGGTTTTACCGTCCGTGCAGGGGCACGGACGACAGTCGCATACGGAAGGATCGAGGACCGTCCCTTAGCAGGTGGGGACCAACCCAGCGAGGGTACAATTTCAGCAAACTGTGGCCGTTGCTCAGGGCGCGAGCGTGTGGGTGTCAGGGCAGAGCAGGGCGGACACAGCGCCAGCAGCAGCGCCACCCGAAGAGCCCAGGTGGCGCCCGGGGTTCTAGCGCCGACCTCCGGCGGGGCTGTGCCAGGGGGCTGGGGCAGCGGGCGGCCCGCGCGGCGCCGCCCCCACTGCGCACCGCGTGCTGGGGTGGCCTCTGCCCGTGCCTGACCTGCGGACTCCGTGCCGCTCTCCGCCCTGCTGCAGGTCAGAGACGACAACAAGAGGCAGCACCCGTGCCTGGTGGAGTTCTCCCAGCTGCCCGAGCAGGAACGCAATTACAACCTACAGATGTCGCTGGAGACCCTGAAGTGAGTTTCTGAACTTCTCCCCGCGCCCCGCATTGGCGCCCTGAAAGGAGTCAGGCGCCTGCGCTTCCTCGGTCAGCGGCGGAGCGGTTTTCGTCGCGCTCAGTCTTTCCCTGATGCGCGCGGGGACAGGGTCAGGGCGGTGGGAATTAGACTTCGGCCTCGCCGCTGTGTCTGACGCTCCACACAGGCATTTTCTGGGGAGCGTTCCACGAATGTGCTCCGCCCTGTGGCATGTGAGGGTTTGGTGACTTGATAAAGTGCCGCTCAGAGCTGGGACCTGCTCAGTCACGAATTGTTACCGATTTGAGGTGACATAATTAAAGAGGTTAAAAAGTGTTAGGAGCTGTTATACCAACTTAAGGGAGTGACTTTATGTCCATTGAACCTAATAACATATAAAATGTAGGCTTGTATTTCAAAATGAAGGCCTATTTATTTTGAAAGATTAATTTTCTCTAACAATTTTACTGTATTTTATCAGAAAATCAGATCATGATGGACTGGAAATTAAAAAATAAAATTGGTCCTTTGTTATAGTTTGAGAAGCACTGTTCTCATATATTTAAGAGATACTGAGTTAAAATAACTGAATAAGATGTTATTTTTGCTACTGGAGTTTTGGGTACTGTGACTCTCTCAAATGCGAGGGAATCCATTTATTCCCCAAACTCCGTTAACCCCAGTCAGCGTCTTCTGTTCAGCGAGCACCCGGGCCATCTGCCCGAGGGGCACTTTGAGAAAAGCCACTGTGGGGTGTGTGTTTGTCGTCCATCCCCCTGAAGTTTGCTGCTATTGTTGCAGATGAGAGAGTGAGTTGGCGTGAATTAAAGGGAGGAAAATAATTTTAAATATGAATATAGAAAAATTCAGAAAATGTATGTGGAAAGACGGTAACATTTCATATGTCCTGTCTGTCCATGACGGCCTGTGGACTGGATTTGTTCTGACCGGTCGGCTGTCCTGATGTGTGCTCATGTTACGTCTGAAATGATACTTTTATCCTGTTTGTGTTTCGGTTTTGTGAGGAGTAAGGAGTGTCAGGCTGCACCCCCTCAGCCTAGGCTGCCCTTGTTCCCCGCCTGAAACCGTAAAAAGACAAGTGACAGAGGAAAGAAAAATAGTTGCAAGTTACTTCTCAGGCATTTGAAGAGCAATTATGAAAATGAAATCTAGTACAGAAGTGAACAAAAAGTATTTTCACGGGAAGAATAAAATACGAATATCTTTTAAACCCATGAGAAAGGTGCTCAAATGCACAAACATTAGGAAAAATGCAAATTAAAACTATGGTGAGATACCTTTTTAATCTATTGACAAAGGGCATGTCATACGTTGCTGGTGGGAACATCAGTCATCTCTGTCAAGACTTTCCAGGACTGGTTAAACTTTAAAGTGCATGTACCTTGTGACCCAGCAACACTGTGTCTAGGAATGCGCCCTACAGATGAAGGACCCCGTGCACGTATTAAATGTCTGAGGCCACTTCTGGCAGCATTGTCTGTAATAACGAAAGACTGACAGCAGAGAATCGGGTAACAACATCATGGCACATCCAGCTAATGGAACACTCACGCCGTTGAAAAATAAACCAGCTGTATAGGAAAGGACAGTATGTCAAAGTTATATTGTAAAGTCAAGGTAACGGATTGCAGAGAACTGTCTCTTGCACATACCTGTTGTGTAAAAGGAAAAATAAACAGCATGCACACGCGCGCCCGCACACGTCTCCCTTCGTATGTGCACGTGCGCTAAGCAGAAGAATTGGTGGCAGCTGTCAGTGCTTTTGGGGGAGACGAGGCTAGAGGGAAGGGACCGGAGGGGGCTTTTCAGTACATTCCCTTTGGTGACATTTAAATTTCCAATGTTTTACTCATTACTCAAAAGTAAATAGTTTATAAAGAAGTGTTCTTCAAAAAAGCACACATGCAAAAGAACTGTGCTCTGCTTTTGGGTAGACTGTTATCTCTTATTTCCTCCCGCCCTTGTGCGCTGGATTAGGCAGGACACAAGGTGGAATTGTGCTTTTCTCTGGTTTGTTTTCCAGGACTCTGTTGGCATTAGGATGTCATGTGGGTATATCAGATGAACATGCTGAAGAAAAGGTGAAAAAGATGAAGCTCCCCAAGAAGTAAGTTGAACATTTAACGGTCTTCAGTAGTCCATGCATCGACTTAGCGTGCCCAAGTAACTTGTGACGGAGGCCTAGGCGCGTTGCTTACACTCAGCCACACTCTTGGGCTCAGAGTAGAAACGTGCTGTGCTACACGAGGAGCACCATCATGTCTCCGCGTTGTGGACAGACAGGAAGCGAAGCTCAGAAAGTATGTGGCAGTGTGTTATGAAAAGGCTGTTATTTTCCCTGTGTGTGTGTGATAAACATACACATGCCTTATTTCCAATTGATGTGGTGTGTTTTTCTACTTTCTACAAAAATATAAGTTTATTTGGTTTTGCAAAGAAAATATACAGGGTCTGGCGCAAATAACACCCCTTTTTGTTACAAAATCTTTTACTACAAAATCATAAGCATGTCATTCTATAATATAACAACGTCACACTGAAGCACACCATATGACATTTTAGGTGAAATGTTCAAATTGAAACTATAAATTATTACACCCATATTTTCACCCTATGAACCACACAAAAGCAGGCCTTCCTTCTACCAGACCCTGTATTTTAGGAATAGTTATGCTTTTGGTATTGTCAACATAAGGAATATTTAAACCTGGAGAGAATTTTTATGAATTTATTTGAGCCAAACTGATGACAGTTGCTGGGAAGGAAGGTCTACACAGATTGGGAAATGCTCCTAAAAATGGGAGTTTTGCACCTTATTTTATACATTACAATGAAAGGAGAAGGTGAAGGGGGTTACATGAAATCACTGGTGATAGTTTAGGGAGGCGGAAGGAAGCAAAGTGGGGAACTTCTGGGATTGGACAAAAAGTCAAATGACAGACACCTACTTTTATACAGGTGGGTAGAGGACAGTTCACAGTCAACAATTAACGTGGTAACAATGGGAATGAGGGGGTTTGTGCTCTCAGCTCTGGTGTGGTGGTCGTGTTGGGAGAGGTCTGGAAGAGGGGGAGTTACCTTGACAGTCCAAAGGCACGTTGCCTTAGACGCAGAAAGACGACAGACGGGCTCCGTTAAGGTACAGGCTGACCTTTGTCAGGGAGAAATACCCGCTGAGGATGTGACAGCTGCCATGGCCTGCTTTTACTTAGAAAATTTCAGCTTCAGACCATCCTATGTGTTTACCTGCGGCCTGTGAACTTGTAAGGCCACCACGCAGCACCCCCGTCCCCCGCCGAGCTGGTCGGCGTTGGCACGGCCCTGGCTGTCCACAGTATCATTACCCCCATTGGACGTGTGAGGACGGAGGCCGTGAGCACTGTGGCGTTGGCTTTGCCTGCTGTGAAGTCGGGGCCACCTCTTAATGCCTGTTCAATGTCCGCACGCCTTTGCTCTCCGCTCTGTGCACAGGCCCTAAAAATACCTGCCTCAGACAGGAGTTTTAGGTGCTAAATGAATATATATGTAATACATAAAAGCTGTTTCCTGTTCCTGTTTTTTTTTTTTATTTTAACTTAAGAATTGGAACTACTTTACTGAGGTTCATACATTGTATATAGCAGGCCTGGAAATGTGTTAAATGATATCATGGAGATAAAAACACAGTAGCCACCTGTTAGTCTCTGTCACTGACCCAGTTCCTCCCCAAAAACATAAAATCAAAATCGAATCGTGTTTTCCATGTTACAGAACCAAAGTGGGGTCCGGCTGCCCGGCCCCACCAAAAGGCAAACTCCGGACGCAGAGGCTGGTGAGACAGGAAAGAGGTTTTTATGTGAATGCTGAACAGTCAGGAACAATGGGGACTCCCCGTCTCAAAGCTCATTTCCTCTGCAAAACCCAGACAAAACCCAGGCATCCCCAGTAAGAGCAAAACAAAAGGCAGCTCGCAGGATCCTTGCTCCATCTTTAAAGGGCCATCTTTGGAGCCCGAGGTGGCTTCTAGGCGGTGACTGAGGTAGCTTAGCTGTTCCCAGCTGCTGTCCGGCTCAGGCGCCCCCCTGGAGGCTGCGTGTGGAGCCGGCGCAGCCACTGGCCGTGCGGCGTCTCGGGCCACAAGGGCGCTAGGTGGGCAAAGGCGCAGTCCGTCCTTCCCCTGGGTTTGTGTTAGTTCGGGGTGTGGGTGGACCAGCTGCTTTCTCAGGATGACCAGTTAACTTCCCCAACGTCCACGCATTCCGGGAGGGTGCGCCTCCTTCCAACCCGTCTTTTCCACGGGTTAGTCGGACAGGCCTCTCTGGTCCAGCCCCCACCCCTCCGCCATCCTGCCCTGCGGTGCAGGTGCCTGCTTTCCCCTGGCCCCACCCCCAGTCAGGCACCAGAAGGGAGTAGGGGGGCTATTCCCACTGCCACCGCCTTGCCTGGGGGTTGGGGATACTCCCGTGATACCCGGTTCAGGCGCCCGGCTGCGGGCGATCTTCCCCGTGCCCCGCCCCTCGCGCCCCGCCGCCGAGCCCCTCTGCGCTGCCACGTCGAGCAGCTTCTCTAGTTCCACCCACGTTTTCACTAAGGTGCCCACTAAAAAAATCGTAGAAAAAAAAGTTTCACGTTTTTAAGTTCTATTTTTTTTTTTTTGCTTAATTAATTCTAGAGGAAGGTATTTTATGACATAGTTCTCAATTTATATTTTTACATGACATTTTATGCTAATTTTAGTGTATCAAATGAAAGCAGATACATAGTGAATAGATACTATCTATTTAAAAACTACATGTAAGCCTGTTAATAATAGAAGATTATATATCACTTTGTCTTTCAATTGTATTTTTAATCTATTTACCCCAGGAATATTACCTGATTAAAATATATTTTGACTGATTACTTCATCATACTTCTGTGTAACGCAGTATATATCTAAATTGAGTTTTTAATTTTTTGTTTTTCAATTTTTTTCTCTGTGATATAGTCACTAAATTTTTATTAATTTCTTCTGAATTATTATAATTACTTTTGGTATACAAGTGTTCAAAGAAACATAACTTAATTTTTTTATAAAAATCAGTATTAAAAGATATTAGAGTACAGCTGTTCTTTTTTAATTATAGTGTATATCTATGGATAAATATTATTTATTAATAGAAAGGAAAGTTGCAAGGTCATTTGCATTCTTTATTCATGTAAATAATTTTGTTGTTTAAAAAAATTCAGTTCAGTGAACCAAAATTTTATAGTGGTTTATCATCAAAAGTCATGTGTTACAATCTACATGTAACAACTCACTAGTGTCTTGTTTAGTTATAAAAAGGCAAAAAAATTAGTACCTTACCTGAAAAAGAATTCCTTATCTTCTCATTAAAGTCACTCACTCAGTTTTTTGGAAAGTATATAATACGGGCATTATTAAGGTTGAAAAAAACTGGTAGTTGTAGCTATTACTCTTTGACTTAAAGATACCTTGTTTAACATGATGTCTATAGGGAAAAGAAAATGAAATGGTAGTTTCAAATTAGCTTTGCCAGCATAATATATATAATCAGTTATTTTTAACATGTGGTGTGTGTGTGTGTGTGTTTCCTACCAAAATCTTGGGGCAAAGAAGACAATCTGAAAAGGTAACATACTGTATAAATCCAACTGTATGAAATTCTGAGAAGGCAAAACCATGGAGATGTTAGAAAGTGCTTTGGTTGCCCATTTGCGGGAATAGAGGGATGAATGGGCGGGGAACAGAGGGTTTTCAGGGCAGTGAAAATACCTCGTATGATACTACAATGTTGAGTATGTTTGCCCAAACCCCTGGAATGTGCAACACTAAGAATGAGCCATAAAAAAACCCATCTTCTTTGGATGATATGTGTCAGTCATCCAATGGGCTCATCAGTTGTAACATGGACACCCCGCTGTGGTGGGAATGTTGATAACAGGGGGGCAGTGTATATGTGGAGGCAGGGGGAGGTAGTGAGATATCTCTGTATCTTCCTCTTGATTTTACTGTTAACTTAAAACTGCTCTAAAAATAAATGATTTAAAAATATCACAAACAAAATTCTTGGGTCAGAATTTACCTTACTCAATTTATAGCATTTATCTTCCATAAAACCAATTTTGTATTGTCAAAACAATCATCTCAAACGGAATTATCCTTTGTCAGAAAAAGTCTGGCTTTTTTTTTCCTGTTGAAATAGTTTAATATATGTCCCTAGGACAACTATCTCAATTCTGACCTCTAAGTCTGAGACAGATCGATAGATGGGGCACAGGGTTTGCAGTAAGCCAGCCTCATTGGGGAATTAAGGTCTCTTCATTATTTGTTTACTGATCCTTTTTCTTTGTGTCACTCTCAGAACTGTTCATTATTTGAGAATAGGTGGGGAAAATGGGAAAGGTGAGGCTTTTAAATGGGAACTACTCATACCTGCTGACAGCGTATACTATATCTAAATCTTCCATGAAAACTTCACATTTCAAAGTATTAATATAAGTGCAGATCAGCACAAGCCTAAAAGTGTGGAGTGATTTTACAACGATTTTTAAAACAGTTTGGCCTCATTGTGTGAAATTAAATATTTTTACGTTGTTACCCAGCAGTTTTACTCCTAGAGATATTCCATACCAGCAAACATGAAAGCTATTATTCCTAGCAATATTATTGTAGTAATATAAAAGTAAGGGAGAGGTCAGAGGGAGTGAGAGGGATGTTATTCAGTAGGAAGATGAATTAAGTTGGGTGTGATGAATTATTATTATAAATGAGAACGTAGATGAACCTAAAATAATGTCAAGGGTGGATGAAAACGTATCCCACGGGGTATGAGGTGGAAAAGCACACAGATCGATACAGTGCTGTTAGCTGCTCTCTGATTCTCAACGTGGTGATGGATGAATGGAGTTCATTTTATTATGCTTTAAGGCATAGTCTTTTGTATGTATCAAGAATAGCTGTTTTTTAAAATAAAAATATCCTGACATATGTAAATCTAAATATATCATTAATCACAACAAATGTAAATGGATTAAATTATTCAGGTAAGATACAGAGATTGTCTGATTGGATTAAAAAAGATAACTTCTGTTGGACACACCTCACAGAGGTAAAACCCAGCTATAGCTGGTGCATCCACAAATTAAGAACATAGAAAGGCTGGGATAATGAGAACATGAGGTACCAAGCGATATTACTCAGGGAGAAACCTTTTCAAAAGGCAAAATAGTTCTTAAAGTAAAATTAAGAAAAGAAGATCACACTGTATAAAGATAAGAAAGCATTATGCTCTACTTATATGTGTACCAAAAAACAGTTTCAGAAATCAAAAAAGCAAAATATTAATACTTTTAAAAATAAATTAAAAATGTACAGTTTTAGTGAGTTTATGACACAACTCTCAGAAACTGATATGTGTAACAAATATTAACAAAGATAAATAGAATTTAAACCCCTACAAATTAAAAGCTAGACATAAATAGAACACTGCACACATAGAATATTTATAAAATTTAACATTTTTTAGGACTTGAGGACTTCGATATCATAATAATCATATTCACTGAATCACAAGGAATAATAGCATAAATCAAAAAATCATTTAGAGCATGACATATTTAGGAATTTAAAACATAGTTCTAAATAGCTTATGGGTCGAATGTATCATCATGAAAATTTAAAAACACACAAATGGAAAATAGACTTTATATGAAAATGTGGGTTGCATATATAAAGCAATACTTGAAGAAAGCATGGAATAAGCAAGAAAAAAAACCTCTGACAAGACTTCATCTAGCAGTTTTGGAACATTTTCAGGAGAGGTAGAAAAATACAATAAATTTATGCCAAAATTTTCTAAAGTTAAATGATATGGACAGCTGTTTAGTATAATATCAAAACTGACCCAAGAAGAAGGAAGGAAAATGTAAAATAGAGTGCGCACTGTTAAAGGAATTGAATTAATAGTTTAATATCTACACACGTACATAACACACACCACCCCCAAAAAGCTTTTCTAAGGAACTGTATTATGATGAAGCTGAGTTTTTTCCAGTAATGAAAGGATGGGTTAACACTAGGAAATGTCTGTCTTTAGCATTTACCTATTATTAAGTCAGCACAGAACCTAGTGGGTCAGAAACTGGTTGCTGTGTGTACTGCTGAGAAATAAGCGGCCAGGCCGAGCCATGAAAATGCCGGTTAGCACCGTCAGAGGGGCGTCCGCAGCTGCGCGGAGGCCCCTCACCCCGCCGTCTCCCCCGGTGCTGTGACGCGCCGGTGGGCACTGGCAGCGGAGGGCTGAGGGGCTCTCAGGCACAGTGGGACAGAGAAGAGGCTAGGAATGACGTTCACGGTGCACAGAAGTACATTACATTTGAATGACTTTCTGAAACAAATGCTGAGATGGTGCTGAACGTGAGGCTGTTTATATGGACATAAACACACGTGCAAGGTCCAGCTCTGTAAATACTCACCAAGTGAAAACACTGTCACAAATACAGTGGGGTTTGTTTCTGTAATGATGAAGCGCTGTCATTATGAAGGAAAAAAGAACGAGTTTATACATTTTTTATGTATGGTGAGTAACTTTCACAGATCACAAGTTTCAATGTGTGCTAACATGTCATGTTCTTCATTTTCACCGATGGGGCTCAGTTGCATATTTAATCCCAAGCCTTGCAGCCAGAGTGCAGTTTGGTCATAGAAACTTAACCCTAGTCTATTCAGTGCAAACTCAATTAAAATAATGCTTTGTGTCTGATGTTACCTCTAGTGTTGATTCAAATGTCGTCTTCTCGAAGTGGCCTTCCTCCACTCCCCTCGAAAGGTGTGCTTCCTCCCTGGCCCCCGTTTCTACTTGATTTGTCCCCATAGAAATTCCATCGTCTAGCATTTTATTTTACATTTACTTTGTTTACTGTCTGCTTCCCCATCAGAGCATAATTCTATAAAGACGTGGATGTTGGGTTTGTGTTATTTGACAGTTACTTCCTAGGGCAGGGTCTGAAACCTCCTGCCGCTGAGTGAGCATTTGCTGCTGGATTGGAACTGAAGGTTTACCCCATCCTCCTCCTGGGGTGCTACGGATGTTTGGGGCACTTGCCTGATGGGGAGGGAACACTGGATCCTTGGGGACTGTCATCTGACTTAGCTGTCATGACTGAACTATGTCAAAGAAAACCAGGGCTGGACCAGGAGGCTCCGACGTCGGAGGTGGGGGGTCACAAACGCGACCCGGCAGGATTCCTGCTGAAGACTGGACTGCGTGGAGCAGACGGAGCCAGGCCGTTTATTTTTTTAATTTAGCACACTTATCTGGTGAATTGCCTTTTTGTGCCAAAGGATAATCTTTGAGATGAGCAGGTGTGTATCTATCTTAACTTGGTAAACAGAGTTAATTCTCTCAAACACTGTAGCTTGAAAGCTGCTGTGTGCCACACGCAGATGTCAGTACAACGGCGCTTAGGAGAGAGGATCAGGACAGATCGGGACCTCAAGGCCAGGTGCCTGTAGGGGAGGCAGCGTGATGGAGCAGGAGGGGGAGCGGCTGCCTGTGGGCCGTGCACCAGCCTCAGGGGCAGCTCAGCGCACAGCCGTGAATCTGCGCGGAGCAGGGCAGTGCTGTTGCCCAAGTGTTGTGCTGTGTTGAAAATTTTCCACTTTCAGTTTTATATTTGTTCCGAAAGATTAAAAATTATACTCATTTATTACCTATTCTCTCTAGCTCAGAGTGTGGAAATTGCCTCTGGTAAGAGTCCCGGAAGAGCCTAGGCTTTTGTGACGTTTTGGGTGGTTATGGATTTCGTAGTCTCTCTTCCTGAGGGCTTCCTCGATGATGTACATAGGAAGGACAGTAGGGAAGTAAACTTTAAATGCATTAGAATTTTCCTATAGGATAATGAGTAGCTAGTATCTGAAAGGATGCACAGCTTTATTAAATCACATGACATTAAAATAACATTTAAAAGTTGAAACTTGAGAACTTTGGTTGAGAAATCCAACAAGTGTTCTGATAGATAACCAAAAATTTGATTTATACTACACAAAAACCTCTGCTATTAGGAACACAAGCAATGATAATTTCTTCTCAGCTTTGAGAGATATGTGAATTGTCTTATTTCTGTTTTATTGGTGAAAAAATAAAACCAGAAGGAAGGTGTGCTCTTTCCTCCTAACGAGTCGTTGGATTAAGTGTGGGGGTGGGGGGGTCCAGGCCTGCCGATTGGTGTGTTACCAGGGGCTTCCCCTGTGGTTTATGGAACACCTGGAAATAGATGGGATCGTGCAAAGGGTACTACAGCGATCTTTAAACCTTGACTTTTCTGGAAAGGCCAGTTACATGAGTTTTGCTTTTCTCCGTAGTTACCAGCTGACAAGTGGATACAAGCCTGCCCCAATGGACCTGAGCTTCATCAAACTCACCCCGTCTCAGGAAGCGATGGTGGACAAGTTGGCAGAAAATGCTCATAACGTATGGGCCCGGGACCGGATCCGGCAGGGCTGGACCTACGGCATCCAGCAGGTGCGTGGGGACTTGGCGCTGCAGATGCGGGCTGAGGGTCACTGAGGGGTAAGTAGCATAATTTATGACAGGAGAGATGAAGTAATGATGGTTTAAAATTCATACAAACACCTTAGTGCACAGATACACTGAAGCGCCCATTTACTGCTGGGCCCAAGGTTGTCCAATGACCACAACCCTGCGTATTAAGTGAGGTGCACAGTGGCTGTTATCAGAACAGTGATTTATAATGTGCCTTTGAGGCATGTCTCTCACTGAGACTGTATTTTAGGAGAAACTTTTGGAATAGGAGAGAGTGAAGTAAACTAATAGTAGAAGAGGTCCATGACCCTCTAGTGGCAGCCCCCAGGCCACGTGGCTTTCAGAGTCCAGCGTTCCCGCCCTTGGAGCCGTGGCGTGAGGTGCCTCGCATCTTCCCTGGCAGGTCAGCAGGCCAGGGGCTCACCCGTTCGCCCCCGCAGGCAGGACAATGCCAAGACCGACGAAAGCAGCCTTGCATCCATTCAGAGCATGTTTTGCCACCAAACGAGTGTTTGTTAAACTTGGTAAAACTGAGTTTCAGAAGTTTCTGGATTTCACAGTCATGGGTCTCTCTGACCGGGGACACTGGGGAGTCGCTAGCTGGCGTGGAGCGTGCGTGGTGGCGGATAGTGGAGGTTAAGAGCACATTTTAGCCTTGCCTCTGAGGAACTGTGTGACCTTTGTTGGGCAGGCCATTTAAATTCAATTCCCTGTGTCTCTGTTTTCCTCTTGAGTCAATTATTTAAGTCACAACAGTGCCTGGCACCTAACAAATGCAATACATCCGCCCTCTCTCAGTATCAGGCGCCCGTGCCTGAAGCCCACAGGTGTTTTCTGCTGTGACTCCCGCAGCCCATGAAGGGTGGGTGCGCAGGACGCACCGGGTGTGCAGGGGGCCTGGGGGAGCAGGTCCCCCAGTGCTGCAGAGCCCGCAGGTGCGGGGCAGGTGGGGAGCCCGCCTGCGGCTCCAGAGCCAGCGTCCCTCACTTCCATGTGTGACAGGGCCTCTGGCCAGGGTGTGGCAGGCGGCCTTGGCCAAGATTTTTCAGAATGGAGTGGGTTTTACTTCTTATACACTTAGGCTGTGGTTCAGGATGCGGTCTGAGTGATACTTCAGAAATGTGCTTTTGATCCTTCTAAGCCACTGACATCTGTCCCTTGGAGAGCTAAAGAGGAGTCGAATAGCCTTGTTTTACTTCATGAAATGGTAGGGTATTTTCATGTTGAATTAGTAGTTGTATCTCATAAGAATGTCAACACTGAGTCAGTATAAGCAGGGAGTGTATGTGTGTGTGTGAGAGAGAGGGAGGGAGGGAAGGGGGGAGATAGAGAGATGAGAGAGAGGAGAGACAGGGAGAACCTGACCTTATAAGCAAGTGGGGCTCTACCCGCCTTGATGACCCCGCGGCTCCGCACACAGGCCAGGACTCCCTGTAGCCGCCGCCCCAAGGTGCTCATTCCTGGACATGTGGTCCCTCCGCCTTATAAAATCATAGACTCTGTCTGAGAGGCCCAAGCCCTCACTTGCATGCTTTCTTCTCCCCTCTCCCAGCTCCCTCCCCGTCACCCTCCACATTGGGCACAGGTTGTGCACACGCTGTGGGGGGTCCTGCAGTGCTGCCAGCTTTTGCGTCACCCTCTCACTGACTTGGCCTCCTTCAGATGGTGACTCCTCGAGAGCGGGTGACTTACTACCTCCTCTCTGTCTCTAGAGCACAGCTGAGCTCAGACACACGCGTGTGTGGGGCCCTGGGGGCGGCTATTACCAGCCAGGTCTCCAACGCCACCTGCCAGAGCAGAAGTCAGGACAGGTTGCCAAGCTTCTGTATAGAAGCGTGGGGGTGAAGCTGTGTTGAAAAGGAGGGGTGCAGGGTCCTGTCTGGAAGCTGCAAGTGCTTACACGGCTTCTTTATCCTGCGGGGCTTTGGAGCAGTGTGCCCGGGTGTTACAGGTGCTCCTGCGTTGGGGCGAGGTATTTAGCGCATGCCACTGAAGAGCCGGAAGCAGAGTGGGAGCAGCCCTCCTCACTCCTGCCCACCGGGGCAAACCCTCTGCACCGCGTGGCTTGTCTTGTTGGGGAGGTTTGCCAACCCTCCGGCCTCCCCGGTCCCCTCCATGCCCAGGTAAATTGGAACTGAGTGTGCTTCTGGCAATTTGGGACGTGGCACAGAGCCGCAGTGAGTGAGTGGAAAGAAGCTATTTCTTCAGCGCTAGGGCCTGAAGGCCTGCAGCCCGAGGGCAGAGGCATCCGTCGTCCTTGCTCAGGAAGAGGTGTCCTTTTCCCGGACAGCGAGGCAGTCTGCTTGCTGTCCTTGTTAACGCCACGTTAACCGCATTTTGAACTGGCAGCCTCTTTTATAATAATTTTGTAGTTAAGTCTATACTTCTGGAGTTACCGAGTTTCACTGGTTGATAGGGTAAACTTAGTGCATATTTTCAAAGGCAGTGGAAGTCATAGAATGACCTTCTGTAACACAGTGTGTTTTCTGTTAAGAAGGGACAGGAGCCCTATGTCGACTGTCGAGTCAAAATCGCTGTGACTGGTACTAACTTGTCTCTCCTTGAAACCAAGGCTTGTCAGTCAACTGTGCAAGGAAAGCATATGTTTTCTACATTAGCCCATTGTTTGTGACCATGGCATTTGGCAGATGGTTAAAGACATCCTTCAAGCTGGCTTTTGTTACTGCCACAGTTATTTTTCATTTTTGTTCTTGTGGAGTGGCCTTGCTTTAAACTGATGCAGCCATTCATTTGATTAAATCTTTTGTATTGATAGTGTTTCAGTAACTTCTGTAGCCTGAGAAGACAATGGGAATGGGGAAGGGGCAGTGTTTACCCTCAGGGGCTCTATATTTTGTAGTATTTTTTTACTCCTCATCCAAGGATGTATTTTTTATTGATGTTAATTATGTTGTAGTTACTGTCTCATTTCTAAACATGGTTGGTGTCACCTCAGTGACCGCCCCTTTTTCCTTCCCATAGGACGTAAAGAACAGAAGGAACCCTCGTCTTGTGCCCTACACCCTTCTCGACGACAGAACCAAGAAATCCAACAAGGACAGTCTGCGCGAGGCCGTGCGCACGCTGCTGGGGTACGGCTACAGCCTGGAGGCGCCGGACCAGGACCACGGTATTTCAGCTGCTACGTGTCCCCTCTGCTTGCAGAACCATGCATGGTTTCCAAAGCCAAATAAATGAGTAAGGGGGAGCGGACCAGACAGGGTCCTTTTGAGTGGGATTTTGTATGCAGTGTGCGGGCCCGGGCACTTTTTCCTGAAAGATCGGACCCGTCTCTTGGCAGAGTGGCTCAGGCCCACAGTGACCCTGCAGGGGAAGAGTCTAAGGTGCACCTTTAACTCTCTAATTCTGACCTCGCCCCCTACCCTCAGTCCACCTGACGTCCTTCAGAAGAGCTGGCTTTAGCTGTTTGTGGGAGTAAATCGTAGTGGGAGCTGGTGTTTTGTAACCCTTCCCTATTTACACTCATTCATGTAGGTAATATTAATTAGTACAATAGTTTGCTTTAAGGAAAACACATTAGAATAGGCACTCAATAAATATATGTTAAATAAATGGACTTTGAAAGGTTTTATGAAGAATACATTTCCCTTTAATAATACTTTTTAAGAATATGGTTTAAAACGATCACCTTATTAATATTTTGTTCCTGCAGTATAAGCTGGTGTTGTTGACCTTAACAAATAGACCAGATATTTCCCAGGATTTGTTTGGGAATGACAAAGAGTTGCAGTTCAGGACATGTGGTCTAATGATGAACCACCCACAAATCCAAAGAGCAAGGGAGAAGGGTGTTCTTTTATAGAGAAAGGGGGGCAGTCAGAGGTTGTGAACAGGGAGACCATTGGAGGAAACTGGGAAGTTCTAAGGGTAGTGCCTTTTCGCTGGCTGAGTGGTTGTCAGGTGAGAAGAGGCTCCTTTTTCCTGCTGGAGTAGCAGGGTAGAAGGATGTTTCCCTGTCGGTGATGGTAGACGACTTCCTGCTGGGTGGTGACCGGTAGGGCATGAGTGACCCCTCCACAGGCCTTCCCAACTCCATTTTAAATGAGGTTTTTGTTTATTATCTTTATAGTATTAATATTCATATTTTAAAATTGGCAGAGACTGTGTGTTTCATTATAGGACCATATCTGAATCTCTATCGGCCTGGCTACGCTGTTCACCCACCCTGGTGATTCTGAGACCATGCACCACCCAGTTGGCAGGCCCACCCCAATTGTTACAGTGGCTTTTCCATACAAACACCCTGTCTTGGCTCATGCTGTGGCCTTTCCTAAAATCTCTCAAACACTAAAAAACCCCAAAGAAGCAGCACCTTGCCTCAGTGTGCCCAGAACCTCTTACTAAGCAGCTCCCAGCCTGGCACTCATGGCAGGCAGACTCGATTTGCAGCTAGGCCTCTCCTGGGCACCTCCAAACCCAGGACAAGCAGCAGCCATCTGCAGATCACTTTGTAGCTCCTACCGGTGGTCCTAGGCAGGGCACAAGCAGCACCTGAACATGGCCTGCACCTTCTGGGAGTCCCCAGAGACAGCACACCTGGTGGACAGCCTCTGACCATGTTGAAGCACCACCCAACCACCTCCATGAGTGACACACTCAAGGGAAAGACTCAGCAGGTACCTGAGCCCCGCTAAAGTAAGTTCTACTCCCTGGGTGCAGCCCCTACACAGCTGATCTGCCACCATGCTTGTGGCCAGTCCTCCAGCTGATTGGCCTGGGGGTGAGCCCCTCCCATTGACATGCCAACAGCAGTCAAGGGCCAACTACAGCAGGGGGGTTCACACAGCCCACATGGAGCACCCAGCACAGGTGACCAGAGAGGCTGTGCCACTGGGCCCCACAGGGAACCTACTACATAAGGCCACTCTACCATGACAAAAAGACATAGTAGCTCTACCTAATACATAGAAGTGAACAAAGGGAGTCAGCCAAAATGAGGAAACAAAGAAACATGTCCCAAATGAAAGAGCAGATCATAACACCAAAAAGAGATCTAAACAAAATGGAGACAAGCAACCTACTAGGTGCAGAGTTCAAAACACCGGTTATAAGGATGCTCAATGAACTTAGGGGAAGCATAGATGAACTCTGCGAGAACTCCAGCAAAGAGAAAGGACCCAAAAATGGAGATAGAAAACCTCCCAAGGACCAGTCAGAAATAAAGAATACATTAGAAGGAATCAATAGTAGAGAAGATGAAGCAGAGCATCAGATCAGTGATTTAAAAGATAAGGTAGCAGAAAATACCCAGTCAGAACATCAAAAAGAACCACCCCCCCAAAAAAGAAAGGATAGTTTAAGTGGCCTCTGGGACAACTTCAAGTATGACAACATTTGCATCATGGGGGTGCCAGAAGGAGAAGAGAGAGAGCAAGGAATTGAAAACCTTTTTGAAAAAACGATAAAAAGCATCCGTATTTTTGGCCAAGGAAATAGAGAAGCCGAGGAAGTGCAGAGAGTCCCATAGTTAAAATGGCAAATGTTAAAGACAGAGAGAATCTTAAAAGCAGCAAGAGAAAGACAGTTATCTACAAAGGAGCTCCCATAAGACTGTCAGATGGTTTCTCAGTAGGAACTTAACAGGCCAGAAGGGACTGGCATGAAATTTTCAAAGTGATGTAAAGGAAGGACCTGCAACCAAGATTGCTCCACCCATCAAGGCTATCATTTAGAATCAAAGGACAGATAAAGAGCTTCCAAGACAAAAAGCTAGAAGTGTTCATCACCACCAAACCAGTATTACATGAAATGTTAAAGGGACTTCTTCAAGAAGAAAAAGAAAAAAATATCAAAATTATGAATAAAATGGCAATAAATAATATATGTCAACAATTTAAGTGTAAATGGATTAAATGCTTCTATCAAAAGACACAGGGTGGCTGAATGAAGAAGAAAACAACTTCTTTACACCTGCTGTCTAAAAGAGACTCACTTCAGATTGAAAGGTACATGTAGACTGAAAGTAAAGTGATAGAAGCTATTTCATGAAAATGGAAATGAAAAAAAGCTTGGGTTGCAAAATTGTGATTTTCGTAAGGGTGATGAAAATGGAAATTAAGGATAGATGTGAGAGATTTTATCGAATAAAGTAAGTCTAGTGATCACTAGGATGAGATTAAAAACATTACCTTATAATTGACTGTACTGCTTTTGCTGACATTAAAAAAGTTAAGAGCATAATTTTTTTCCTACAACTGAATCTAATTCTATGTTATTAATCCAGGTTATAATTTATTTTCTATTAGAAAAATGCTACCTATGCCAAGATGAATATGAACTCAGTATTTGAATTGTGCTATTTTTGAAGTCTTGTTCTGAATACTACTTTAAACATTTGAAAATAATTTTTCTTCATTATAAGGTTTTATCAAAGTTGGAATTACTTAATTAGAAATAATACAAGGAGGTTGAAAGCATGACTGGTTAATATCAATAATTTTTACTTTTATAAATACACCTAAAGGATTTTGGATATGTATGAAATTTTAAAGAGAAGAGCCTCCCTTCATACCTTACTAGAAATAATTTAAAATTTTAGTGCATGATTAGATCTTGCCTGCCCTCTAGTGGCCAGTGTCTTTTAAATGTGTGGTTTTCAGCGCAGTGCTTGTATAGGAGGTAGGCCCTAAGGGATCAGTCGTTGGCGCCCTCTCTGTGCCAGCGCCCCGGGGACCTGGGAACCCAGCATTATTCATACCTTATCCTTAATCTTGAGGTAGTTTGTTGAAGACATAATTCCTGAATTTCTTCTCCTTTGAGTAGCAACAGCCTTGATAAAATGCATTAGGAATGCATCTGACTTCATTTTTTTAATGTCAATTTTGATTCTATTCTTCATAACAAGATCAAAATCATTTGTGTAACACACATGACCTAGAATTGCCTACCAAACATATATGGATGTAGAGTGTTTAACATCCAGCAAAGCTGAAGAGCTGCTCGCTTTGGGGACGGTGGTGCCGCCATCAGCTGCGTGCCTGAGCGCCTGCGTCCGGGCTCGGGACAGGTTTTGTTCTTCCATCCAGCCGGCACCTGCTTTGTGCCCCGCTGCTCAGTGCTACAGGGGACTCTGAGAAACTGGTTTGAGATTATCTGGATCTGTTCTTATAACTTCTCTGGATCCAGGTTTCCATTTATTATTAATATTTTATCAAGAAACAGAATGGTAACCTGCTGCTTCTTAAACCATGGCTGTAACCTCCCCTAAATAGACATGGGAGAGGCAGGGTATGAGCCACAAGACACACAGACGTGGAGAGAGGTGTAATGAAGGCTGTGGAGACACTTCCATTCCAAGTCCAGACTGAGCCTCACTAGTGGCAGGAAGAAACACTGGGGCTAAGGCGTTCTGCATTGTTACCTCTCGTTGCCACGCATTTCCCATGGAACCCCCTCGTCCTCATTGCTGGTAGTAGAGGAGAGCATTAGTGGTAACTCTTACTACCAAGAGAAGTTTGCAGTGCGCTTTTAAAGACATTGTTATATTTTTATACTGAGTTGGCCTTCCAGCATGTTAGACTTAAGCCAGTGTGAGAGCCGCTGGCTTCCCTCGAGCCCCTGCGCCTCGTGTGCCTGTGGGTGGAGGCGATGCCCTGGAAACGTGAGAAGGGAGCATGCGTCTGTGAGTGTTTCAGCACCTTACAATCCTGAAAACCGGAATGTTCACACTGAGAAAACGGGGTGTTTTTTTTCTGTTAGTTCACATTAAAGTATAGTGTATGATTTTATTTTCAAATGTTGACATAAAGGTAATGACACAAAAGCTTTTTTCCTTTCTGAAAAGGAATTCCCAAGTGTCTGTGCAGTAGGTGGCATTTTGAGTTTGACGCTATTGCTGCTGCTGAATGAGAGCAGCTTGGAGTACACTGGCTGGTCAGGTGTTTGCGTGTATGTGTGTGTTTACATGTGTTGTGGGGAAAAGGTGGAAAAACAATGCATCGCTTACCCAGAAACATAACGCAGGTGTTGAAAGGTTTATCAGCAGATACAGCTCCACTGTGCAGCCTGTAATCACCACACGTCATCAAAAAGCAATAATCGGTCATTTCACTATAGTAGCTCCTAGTATGTGCTAGACCTCTGAGTCCATTGTCTTCACTTCAATCTAATCTTAAGTTGTTAAAGATGGCCTAGCTGTGTGTTTACTGCGGACCTTCAGAGCTTATCTAGATTTTGTGTAGTTCTGATTAGATCATATGCATCTAGTGGTTCAGCTGTTTTTAAACTTTTATTATTTATAAGGTCATTCTCTGGAAAGGCTGGTAGGTGAGAGCTAACCTTCAACCAGCATCTCCCATCGCTGTGCAGCTGCGGAGGCAGCGTGTGAAGGGCACAGGCTGTCGCCCCCCGGGTTCTGCCACTTGTTAGCTGTGTGGCTTTGGTTAAATCGCTTCAGTTTCCTTCTCTTTATCTAACCCAGACCCTTGCTGAGCTGACTGCATCCTTGGAGATGTCAGTTCAGTGGACCCTGTCCCCATGCCGTCACTTCCAGGGCTTTCCACGCTCAGGGCCACCCTGGCTTCAGGTTCCATGGCCTGAGGTGTCCCCTTCCTGGCTCTCAATCTAGTGCTTCCAGTCTCAGTCCCCCTGTGTTTACTCTCGGTCCCCCTGTGTTCGCTCTCAGTCCGCATGCACCAGTCCATGTGCCTCCACAATCGATTCACATGCATTTACTTTCAACCCACGTGGGTCCATTGTCAACCCACGTGCACCCACTCAGTCCCTGCGCGTCCACTCTCAGTCCCTGTGTGTCCACTCCCAATACGTGTGCATCCCCAATCAATACCTGTGTATTTACCCTTAATCCAGTGTCCACTCTCAATCCACACGTGTCACAGATATTTTTTCCCTTTGTACCAATCACACTGACTCTGATGTTAGACTTGGCCCTTTTACTTTTTCCCCGAATATCTTAAACACAATGTGTGTGTGTGGCACATTATAGCGAAGATGGGCGGTTGGGAGTTTGCGACGGTGACCCTTCTGTGCTGTTCGCAGCTTCCCCTGCCCCGCATTGCCTGGCAAGTCTTCGCTTTTCTCTCGCACCCACACGTGCCCGTTCCTTTCTTCCGCGGAGCAGTTTCAGCCGCTCCTGCAGCGGCTCTGTCTGTGCCTCCTGCCCTCTCGCCTTCACCGCCCAGGGGCGGGCGGGTCTGTCCTGCGGGAGGAGGGCTCCCTGCTGAAGGGCAGCGGCGTCGCCTTCCCCGCCTCCCGCGCGAGCCCTGTGCCCTGCGCGCTGGCCCGCAGTGGCCGGCCGCGCCCGTGAGCCGCCCTGTGCAGTGGGACCCCTCTGGGAGCCAGGGAGCCGCTAGGCGTCGCTGCGGGTGGGATTCCCCGAGGCCGGTACGGCGCCCGCCCCGCGCGCCGGGCCCCCGCCCGCGGTGGTCAGCAGAGCCCCTTCCCCGCAGCGGGCCGGGCCGAAGTGTGCAGCGGCACCGGCGAGCGGTTCCGGATCTTCCGCGCCGAGAAGACCTACGCCGTGAAGGCCGGGAGGTGGTACTTCGAGTTCGAGGCTGTGACGGCCGGGGACATGCGAGTTGGCTGGAGCCGGCCGGGCTGCCAGCCTGACCAGGAGCTGGGCTCCGACGAGCACGCCTTTGCTTTCGACGGCTTCAAGGTGAGCGCCCGCCGGCCCGCCCCTGGCCGCGTGGAGGGGGGCCTCCTGCCGCGTGCGGGCTTTCCCCGGAATCTCCCTGGTAGGACAGTGACCGCAGCGCTCTCCGGAGCGCGAACTTGGGAACGTAGTTCCTAGGGAATTTTTTGTCCTTGTAGTTTAAAAAACATTTTTCTCTACCCCACAAATACAGTAAAATCACTATCAAAAACATGAATCACCCATGTCTATCAAAAGTATTACAAATACATGTGCTAATTAAAAATGCATACAGTTTGACACAGTAGTTCCCTGGAGGAAATTTATCCTTGAGTGACAGATAATTCGTGATGGTAGACACACTTAATAACTATAAGAACAGCTAGTGCATTGTGGTTTGCAATCACAAAAAGTTTTGATTTTCAACATTGTTAGTGATTTTCATTCCTTAAGCTGTGGGGAAGCTGGTCAGGTGCTTATTTTATCATTTACTTAAACATCATATAAATGTTTATTATTTTTATTTGTATACATTATTTAAACATTAAAAATGTGTATATATATGAACATAGCTGCAATAGAATAGTAATAGTCTTTTTTTGGGTGATAAAGTTATAGATATTTTATTCTTTTATCTGTATTCTTTGATTTTTCTTTTGTGGCTTTGTATTCCTTTTCATATGAGGGGGAAAATCTAATTGAACAAAGGAAGTTAGAATAAATAAGCCATCACATGGAGACTTGACTGTGGGTGTTCAGTACGCTTGTGCGGGAAAGCATTTCCAGGCCAGAAGTTAGTATTGTGTCTTCCAGGACAGCCCACCCACTTTGTTCTGGAACATCATGCTTCCTGAACCCTGGTTTTTATTTCAGGTCGGAAAATTTAACACCTTTCAATACCTAATTTGGTTAAATAAATTTTTAAAAAACTACTGTGTAGTCCAGATGAATCATATTGTTTTGCTTGGTGACCGTGTTACATTATGCATCAGCTCACAGTGAACTTCATGCGTAAGGGGAAGGTTAAAAGACTTCACTGGGAAATGAATCAATAGAACTAATTCTGTACCTATAGATCAGTAGAAATATTATTTATCAAACCGTTTTATGTTTTATGTTTTAAGTATATGAGATCTCACCTGTGTTTATCTAACAATATTAGTATGTATATTCAATCTTTAGCTTTCTATTTCAGCAAACATATTAGGAACATTTTTAGGTTTGATTTGAACCTTTTGTTTTATCATAGAGGCTGGGGAAACAGTAGGTTTACAGTTCCTATGGAAAATAATACAATAATGAATAAATTATAATGCAAGAATAAACTCTGTTTTGCAACTGTAAACCTACTTTTGCCCCATCTTGTATATTGAAATGCTTCTAAATTTCTGTTTTGTTAAGTATCAGTGCCATTGGTTCCAAGGAGTGCAGTTTTATTTTGAAATGGATGAAAATTAGAATGTCATTCAATGATAAATTCCCAGCTGGATTCTCTGCTCATAATTCTTCATATTTTGGGGAGTAGAGAAAAACCACCCATGTCCAGGGAAGCATTCACAGTAGGGAGATGAATACATTTTTAAAGTCAAAGAGTTTTTCTTTTAATAGAAAGTGTGTGGAGTAGATTTTTAAAATGACAGACTCTCAAAATCATGAAATAGCATTTGGGTTTTTCCCGAGTCGGTGCATACAGTGTTGCTATTAGGGCCTCAGGATTCCCAGACACCCCGTGTCCAGGGCCCCGCAGTGGACATGCACTGGCTGGGGGGCTCCCCGCTGTCGCCCTCGTTACCGGGAGGAGGGGCTGCGGGGAGTCCTGCAGGTGGTGGGCGGGGTCTGTCCTGCTGGCTTCCTGGGTGGCAAATGACCCTTCTGTCCCAGGCCCAGCGGTGGCACCAGGGCAATGAGCACTATGGGCGCCCCTGGCAAGCTGGCGACGTCGTGGGCTGTATGGTCGACATGACGGAGCACACCATGATGTTCACGCTGAACGGCGAAATCCTGCTCGACGACTCAGGCTCAGAACTGGCGTTCAAGGACTTCGACGTCGGCGACGGTGAGCGCGTTCAGGCTCGCGGCACAGGGAGGCGCTTTGCTCTGATGCCATATGACTGCTACTTTTGTATGAGGGGAGGGTAGAGGGGCTGCCACTGAGAGTCCCACACTGCCTGCATGGCTTATTTGATGCCACACCCTTGAAGTCACTTTAGCAGAAGCACCATCTACACTACTTAGCCAGGGTTTCAGTAAGGCTGAGATGGCTTTTATGAACGTCAATAAGAAGGTAAATGGCAGCGAAAACCATCATTTTCCACAAATGTTAAATTTTTATTCAGACCTTCCCTCTGAGCTAGCATAGCTTCTTTCTGTTCATTCATTTCATAAGAAGATAAGGAGAACCTCCTCGTTCAGGCCCTCCGCTGGATGCTGAGATGACAGAGGTGAATAAAACATTGTCCTGTCTTCATGCAGGACTCGGTAGCCCAGGGGCGTCAGCACTTGTATAACTTCTGATCAGTGGAGAAGTTCGAAAATAAAGAAGTGCAGAAAGTGGACGTGAGCACAGTGCTGGGAGCAGGCAGCTGCCCGTGCACCTGCGAGGGCCTGGTAGGGCTGTGCAGCTGCAGGCCCTTAGTGAAGCAGACGCTTCCAGAGGGGCCCCTGGCCACAGGAGGTCATTTTAATTTACGTTCATTTAAATCGAATGAAGTTAAAAATTGACTTTCTGAGTGGTGCTTGCTGCGTGCGGGTTTTGGAAGGCTCAGTGGGGAGCTCTGGCTAGTGGTGCCCCTGGTGGACAGCACAGGTGTAGCACACGTACGGCCTCCCGGGAGGTTCTGTTGGACTGTGTGGCTAGAGCAGCGGTTTTCAACCGACCTGCCACACGGAGTTTTACAACAAGCAGCACCTGACTTTTTAGTCAGGGGCGCTGACCTCTTTTCCCTTAGATTGTCAAACTAAAAAATGACAACAGCCAACACAACAATAGCCGTCTGGTGCGAATTAATCAAAATTGTACCTATTTTTTTTTTGGTCAGATCGGAAAAAAATATATTTTTTCTTGTGCCGCAGAATTTTAGTAATTAGTTTGTGTGTGCCAGGAGATGAAAAAGGTTGAAAATTGCTGTTTACAGCATAGACGCAAGATTATTTAATAAAATACTATATCACTATTATTTCAAAATGAGCTAAAGCATTTTTTTAGAATGACTTTTGGGTTTATTCTATTCTTCGAATATATACAGTCTTGGATTTTAAGACACCCCTCAATCGGTGCTCTGGTGCGTTGTATTTAGGAGCAGTGCCGTGGGTGGGGGGAGAGACTTTTTCTGTGTTAACCTGTCTCTCCACCGTCATACACATATTATGGGTATGGCCAGAGATTTTATTTTTTTAACTGGTTGTTATTTAAAATGTTTGCATACCGTGCTTTCCTTCTTTGGGAGTGAAAATCTCGAGGTGCCGTGGTGAGTTGTTTGGCTGACACCACAGGTCCTCTCAGGAGGACGTGACAGTGATGCGGGGGGAGCACCCCCTGTGCTCCCTCAGTGCATGGTCGATGCTCACGCTGCAGCGCGTCGCACAGGCCAGTCACCGCGGCTGTGACCGCGCCCGTGGGCTCTGTGGTGAGTCTGGTGACAAAGTCACACGCACCACTCTGTTTGATTTTAAGTGTAAAATCAAATGATGATTAAATTTAAAAAAGGACTTGAAACTTGTACCGATAGGTCTGTTGTAGAGTTAGCAGAGCATTCTGGTGACTTGCCTGGAAGCTGTGTAGTTCGCATTGTTGGACGTGTGGGGAAAGTGGCCTCTCAGCCTGTGAGGCAGGGTCTCAGGTTTATGGAGCCCTGGCCATAGCTTTTAACTTTGTAGGGTCAGTCATGGTCGTGCGTGTTCTGCCGTGGGGGGAGCCGATCCACGCCTGTGGGTTTTCCCTTCCCCCTCAGTAACCCTGCACGGCTTCCTAAATAAGAAGAAACTCGGTGGGCCTTCCCTGGGCGCAACTCCGGTGGGGGGCCTGCCAGGAACGAGTTTGAAGATACACAGTTTAGGACCAGCAGATTTTCTGGCACAGGGATATCTTGTGATTGCCCACATGCTAAAAAAGCTTTGCAATTGCTCTATTTTCAAATGGCTCTGACACCTGTCTCTCTGTCTGCGCCCTGTGTTCCTTATCACGCTCATAACTCCTTTTTACTGCCAAAAAGACAGACAGCTCAGCCATATGTGTCTATTAAAGCAGGCTAAAGAGCCATGTGGTAAGATGGATGAAAGAAATTCTGTATGTAAAATATATACACACATACATATTATATTTATCCAGCCCTTTTCTCTGACTCCTTGGGGGCAAGTATTTAAAACAACTTTCCTTGGTTACCCCTTCAGGAGCTGGCACAGCTGCAGACACAGCTGCCATTTCTAAAACGTAACTAGAAGCTCATCGTTCACTCCTCCTGGAACAGAACTGGGTGCGCCCTGCGTCCTGTGCCCTGGAGGCGGCAGTGCTGTGCAGCCGTCTATTTCCACTCACATTACAAAACGGGCGAAATCATTATGAATTCTCAGCTGTAATTTCTGTTGTCTTGTGCTATTTTGAAGGTTATATATTGCTTTTATTGCCACTAATGTCAACAAGGGAAGGAGTAAGAATCACCATGGTAGAAAATTGTTAGCCTGTTCTTAGCAGCCACTGCTTTTTGATCTGCACATTAGGTTCTCAGATTTGTAGCCTGCATTCCAATACTGACCTTGTTTATTGTGCTGAGCACTTGAACTTTTGTATAAAATATTATAGAAAGAAATGAAGGGGACATAAACACCCTCCACCAAAATTACCATCTTGTTCTTTTGCCAAAGACAGTTGATTAAAAATGAAACAAAACAATGAACAGAATTGGTAAATTTTCCTCTCTTATTCAATAGTGGAAAGATTTACTAACCCTGTCACACATTAGATTAGCTTATGAAATGTATTATTTGTTTCTCCCCTATTGCTTTTTTGCTATTGCTTTTGATTTAGTATCTTGTTTCCTTTAACTCACTCTTTGATTTCCTGTCTTGTTTAGGTCAGACTGCATTAAGCTACAAAGATTGCTACATGGAAAGAAAAGAGACAAATGGATTAGCTTCAGTAGAATTTTAACAACTCTATCAAAATAATTATTTATGTATATATTTTTTTCCATGCTTAGATCTAGTATGGCCCAGGAAAAAAAGGGTAGAATTCTCAGCCCTGGCCACACAGTGCAGTTGGGTAGAGCATCATCCCTACATGCCAAGGTTGCAAGTTCCATCCCTGGTCAGGGCACATGCAAGAAGCAACCAGTGAAAATAACTGGAACAACAAATGCATGTGTTGTTTTTTTTTCTCTCTCCCCTGCCCCTTCCTCTCTCTCTCTCAAATCAATAAATAAAAAACAAATAAATTTTAATAAAGAGCAGAATTCTCTTCTAAAGTCAAAAGCAGCTATGAGTGGATGAAAACCTTTCAAATGTTTCTTCCAGTCCTTTTTCCTTTGAGTGTTGTGTAAAGAATTCTGAGTTGGGGGTTTGTGTCGCTCAGGTTAGCCGGACGGGAGAGCCGCCGCGTGGGCTCTTATGTTTCTCACTTCCCCTCTGCAGTGGGGCTGTGCGCCCCGGAGCCAGGGCTGCGGGACGCGGTGCTCCTTCTGTGACTGTGTCCCCTGGGGTCCTGGAGGACTGTGGGGCTGCTTAGCATTTATCTCCTTTCACAGAAGTCCAGGTTGAAGAGGGACTTGTCCGGGGGTCGCAGTTAGTAAATTATGATGCTAAGATCAAATACTGCTCTTCTGACCTTACAACTAGTACTTAATGTTGGTTCTCTCTTTACTCTGTTGCTGTCTTCACTGTAGGGACCTCTCTCAAAATGATAGCAATTCTGCAGTGATACTTTTGGTCATTCTGTACTGACAGGGTCACATACTGAACATTTGGATTCTTCTTTCTTCTAGGATTCATACCTGTATGCAGCCTTGGGGTGGCTCAGGTGGGAAGGATGAACTTCGGCAAGGACGTGAGCACCTTGAAGTATTTCACCATCTGTGGCTTACAAGAGGGCTATGAACCATTTGCCGTTAATACGAACAGAGACATTACCATGTGGCTAAGCAAGCGGCTTCCTCAGTTTCTCCAAGTTCCATCAAACCATGAACATATTGAGGTTTGCTTTTTCATTAAATATCAGACCAGTGCCAAAAACCAGGAGTGCAATATCTTTGCACATGGGCGTTCGTATTGAACAATTATTGTCACTTACTGAAAATGGTGGCGCCGATGTGTTATATAGTAGTGGAATCTAAGAATTGGGTCATCAGCCTTGATTTTAACTACTTGATGAGTAGCTGATGAGACTGATGCTTACTTATTAATTCTCATTCTGTGTAGGTGGTGTCAGGCTCTGTTTGAATGTGTACAGTTATAACATGAATTTCTCAGGCTGTCTTCTGAGTTAGAAGCAGAGCTACGAGTGTGTCTAACACAGTGCTCACCCTGTGCAGTTGTCTCACTGACAAAATCCCGCTGCGTTGGCTGTGTTTGGGGCACTGAGATGTGCCGTGAGTGGTCTTTAGGACCACTGAGCCGGCAGTGATGGCTGGAATTGAACCATCACTTCTTTGTTTGCTAGGTGACCAGGATAGACGGCACCGTGGACAGCTCCCCGTGTCTAAAGGTCACGCAGAAGTCATTTGGCGCCCAGAACAGCAGCACCGACATCATGTTCTACCGCCTGAGCATGCCCATCGAGTGTGCGGAGGTCTTCTCCAGGCCAGCGGCCGGGGCGCTGCCGGGGGCCGGCCTCTTCGGGCCCAAGAGCGACTTGGAGGATTACGACGCGGACTCCGACTTTGAGGTTCTGATGAAAACAGCACATGGCCACCTGGTACCCGATCGCGCTGACAAAGACAAAGAAGCTCCAAAACCAGAGTTTAATAACCACAAAGATTACGCGCAGGAGAAGCCCTCTCGTCTGAAGCAAAGGTTGCTGATCTGTGCACAGTGGTTTCCGTGTGTGCCTGTTGGGTGGGGCGGGGGACCGCGGGGGTCTGGGATTTCCCACCCCAGCCTTTCCTTTCCCTTTGCCCTTCTTCATACACACGTCCCCTACTGGGGACAGTGAAGCAACCTGTCTGTCATCTGATTTGTTACCACAGATGTAATATATCCCGAGTTACATTTTTATGCATTTTTCCATGCATTACTGTAAAAAAAAACACCCACATAAGAAAATGTATCATTTTCACCACTTGTAAGTGGACTTAAAACTTGGAGTGTGCAGCGCAGTTAAGTGAGCAGCAGTCCTGAGCGTGTTCCCTTTGTTGTGAAACACACCTTTGCGGTAGTTTCATCTTGCAAAACTGAAATCCTCTTCTCTCCAGCCCCTGCAGGCTCTTGGGACCACTGCTCTGCTTTCGGTCTCTGTGAGCTTTCCTGCTCTGGCACCTCTTTTAAGTGGAGTCATACAGCCTTTGTCTTTGCGACTGGCTTATGAGCTTTAGCGCAACGTCCTCACAGTTCATCCAGGCTGCAGCTTGTGTCAGAACTTCTTTTCTTTGTAAAGCCGAGCCATATGCCATTGCATATACAGGACGCTTCTTTTTATCCACTCATCCATTCATTGATAGATGGATATTTGGCTCGATTCCATCTCTTGGCTATTACAAACAGTGCTGTTATCAACATGGGTATAAAAATACTTTGTCAAGACCCGACTTTCAATTGTTTTGGATATATACCTGGAAGTGGGATTAACGGTAATTCTATTTTTAAGTTTGTAAGGAACCTTCATGTTGTTTTCCATAGCTGTCGTACCATTTTATGATCTTACCACACTGTACGAGGGTCCAAATTTATTTACATTGTTGTGAACTCTTGTTACTTTCGTTTTTTTTTTTTGTAGGAGTTATAAGGTGTGAAGTGAGATGTCTCATTATGGTTTTGATTTGCATTTCCCTGATGATTAGTGATAGTGAACATCTTTTCATATTCTTATTGGCCATTTGTAGATCATCTTTGGAGAAATTTTTTTTTCCAAATTCTTGGCCCATTTTTGGGTTGGCATTTTTGTTTTTTGTTGTTGAGTTTTAAGAGTTCTTTATATATACTGGATATTAATCCCTTATCAGATATGTGGTTGACAAGTATTTTCTCCCAAGAGTTAGTTTTTAAGATGTCTATATTTACATTCTTGTTGAACTTAAGAATAGTCTCTGTAAATAGTATTTTCTGCAGACAAGAAAGCAGATTGTTCTATCACTTTTTGTTGCACTGAATCTGGGTTTCTCCACCTCAGCGTGCTCTGGGCTGGATAATCTTTGTTGTGAGAGCCTGCCATCTGCTTTCAAAGATGTTTAGCAACGTCCCTGGCCTCCCCCACTAGATGCCAGTGGCACTCACTTGGGCCTCATCCCCACGTTGTGACAACCAAAAATATGTCCAGATGTTGCCAGAGTCCTCTGGGGAGTAAAATCACCCTGGTTGAGAATCACTCCACTAAACTGACTGTGTGCTCATGTTTGAAGTGGGCAGAACGTTCACTGTTGCTGATTCTCAGTCCTGTAATATTTTCAGATTTCTGCTTAGGAAAACAAAGCCAGATTACAGCACAAGCCACTCCGCGCGGCTCACTGAAGACGTCCTCGCGGATGACCGGGACGACTACGACTACCTGATGCAGACGTCCACGGTACGAGGGCGCGGCCCGGGCCCTGTGCTTCGTTGGTCTCTCGGTGTGCCTGTGTTTCAGAAAGCCCACTGGGAGCCGTCATAGTTAGCAAGCTTGTTTTCAAAATAATTGCTTATTTGGGGGGACTAAAAGGTGGAAAATGTGTGTATGTGCAGTCAGGGAGCTGTTTTAGGAGAAGCGTCCTTGCTGATGCCTGCAGTCCTGATTCTGCCATCTTGTTTCTTGGCAAAATTTGAATTTGTGACTTCGTTTTTCCAAGTACTATAAATTCTTTCATCTTTGTAGTATGTCTAAAAGAAGATCACTTATTTTTTTTAGAGATCAAATTTTGCTGCCTGTCATTTGAAATTTTCAGAACAACTTGTGGCAATGGGAAATGGAAAAAAAATAGATAGTTAAGGTGATTTTAAGATGTGACTATATTGCACATTTGCGCCAGGATAGGTGAAGTGCATTCACAGGTAGATGGCAGGTGTGACTCTCTGGCATAGATCAGCGTGCTGTGCACACTGGCAGAGTTTGAAGTGTACCTGCCTAACAGTTGGTGATTTCATTACATAGCTATACTGTATATGTACACACACATATGGCATGCATGATACATGTGTGCTCACAACACACGCATACACACTTGGGACTATAAAAGTATCAAATCATTTACCATGTTTGCTCACATAGTCTTTTCTCTTTTTCCTACTATTTCTAGTTTAATTCAGGATCTCTGTTTTAAAACTCTTATTTTGCAGTGTTAGTCCTTGGTGCCAATAGCATTTTAATTAGGCTCGATGATTTAAAATAAATATAGTCTTTGGCAATTCAAAGACATTGCAGGTTGAAGTTTCATTTCATTTTCCTTGCCAACGCCTAGTTTTGCTGTCTTGACAGTACTATTACTCAGTGAGAATCTTCCCTGGACAAGAACCGGCCAGCGTCTGGGTGGGCTGGATCACATCTGACTTCCACCAGTACGACACATGCTTCGACTTGGACCGAGTTCGCACAGTAACCGTTACTCTCGGAGACGAAAAAGGAAAAGTGCACGAAAGGTTGGTTGTTCTCCATTTCTTGCCAATGGCATCGGATGAAAATGTTGATACACCCAGGAATTTTTTGTCTTGGATTTCATGCCCAGGGTAATATTTCTACTTATAAGAGCAATATAATCAAAACCTTAATATCAGCACTCTTTCTGTTGCTCATGCAAGCCAGTGAGGAATCTGAGTATATTTAAAGTGAGAACCATTCTAAAGTGAGAGCAGTGCTTCTTTCTGGGTAACAATCCTGTGTTCTTCAGGTGGCCTTGTACGAGACTAACACTGGGTTACGATCCTCAGCCTTCGGGCTGGGGCTGTGGACGGGTGAACATGAGGCAGTTAGCACATGGTCCGATACGTATGGTGGGAGCTGGTTTGTGGTGGGGAGACAGTCGGAGATGTGAGGGGCTCGTGGTGTAGACCAGGTGGACACATTTGAACTTGGACTGAGGAGCAGTGGGTTCTTTCCTCAGCTTGGCCATTGACTTGCTGTGTGGCTTTGGGTAAGTCAGTTACACTTTCTGTGCCATCCTTTCTCATTTGTAAAACAAACTCAAACCAAACCTTCAAAAAAGTGAAGAAGGCTATCTTCCTTGCAGAACTAGCCAAGAGAAGATCTGACCACTTGCATCTACCTTTTGTGCCCGTGCATCCTCTCTGATCCGCTGTGACAGGTCTCGTAGAAATAGTCCTCCATACGTGGCTTTTCTTTTATCTCCGCTCCTCATTTTTGGTGACTAGAAGCTCGCTCTCCTGCCTTCAGGGTTCGACACCTGAGACACTGGAGCTTAGACCCTGAGTCAGTGGGCCTGGCAGAAAGGTCCAGCGAGGGCGCTTCACGGCAGTGCGGGGCCCCGAGCCTCCTGTCTCCAGGGCTGCCCTGGGGGGGATGTGTTTGCTAACCGGAGAAGGCGACAACATAAGGAAATAACTCCATCTAGTGACAAGCGACCAAATAGATGATTTTGGTGTAGGAACAGTCTAGATGAGGGCTGTTGACTCTTACGTAAGTGGTGCAAAGAAACACAGTTGACTTTTGATTATTCAGAAACTGACAGTATCTCATCTTCTTGTTCTTTGCCTGCCTTTGACATTTTTTTTTATTTTTTATTTTTTGCCGATCTCATTAATATAGCTACTGTATAGTGGCAGACAAAGCACAAATAACTTAAGTTTTGTTACCATCTTTGGTGAAGGTTTTGGTGAGGGTAGAACTCAGGTGGGGTTTGTGTTTAATACTACTGATTTTGTGCATATTGTAGCTCAGTCTGTCTCTCATAAGAGATCACTGGGAATTGTCCATGAACGGATATGTTTTCAGCCAAATTGTAAAGATATTGAATGACTGATGGCTCATGACAGAATTTTCCTAAGGACTCTGATAGTGTTTAAAAATGAATGCTTCTCACCTCAGAACAGTGGTTAAAAAACAACAAAACCTGTGAGAACGAAAATTACAAATTTGGATGATTATTAAATAAACTTTTTTGAACTTCAGAAAAAGGCCCAGTTTGGTTTGAGTTTTTGGAGGGAAGGTGCAGGTCAGTTCTTACCTGGTTCCAGCTTGTTGACCTGTCTCCATTAGGCGTGGACTTAGGGACGCGTAAGACCTGATTCAGAGCGCCCCCTGGCGCCGGTGAAGTTCTGCTCGGAGTCACAGACTCGGGCCCATGTGCACCTCTCCCATCACAGCATGAGCTTGTTGCTTGCGCAGCATAATTTAGGTTTAGTTTGCAAGATACACATGCTTTCTGTTACCCACGTGGTCGTACAAAGATCAAAATGTTTTTTGAAATTCAGCATCAAACGCAGCAACTGCTACATGGTGTGTGCGGGCGAGAGCATGAGCCCCGGGCAGGGACGCAACAACAACGGGCTGGAGATCGGCTGCGTGGTGGACGCCGCCAGCGGGCTGCTCACCTTCACGGCCAACGGCAAGGAGCTGAGCACCTACTACCAGGTACCGGTGGGCGCGGTCTGCCTCTCTGCAGGGAAGCCTTGCTACCCATTAGAGGAGAATGCATTTTGTAAGATCAAAAAATAAACTAGAAAGAAATGAAAACAGAAACGAGTTAATTAGGTGTTCTACTTCTGCTTGAGTATGAGCTGTGCCGTGTGCCCTCTGGGGCGCCGAGTCCTTCCCTCCGTAAGTGCTTGTGTAGTAAAGAAGCGAAAGGCTCCTAGCAACTATTGGAAGACAGTATCGCGTGAGAGAAAGGACACATCTCCGGTTCCCTTTTGTGAAGTATTCCTTAGTTGTTGTGAAGACAGCGTTTTCTTTCTGTTCCTTCCTTTACAGTGAATTTATTATTAAATTCATTGGTTTCTTTAAGGTGGAGCCAAGTACCAAGTTGTTCCCTGCGGTTTTTGCACAAGCTACAAGTCCCAACGTTTTTCAGTTTGAGTTGGGAAGGATAAAGGTAAGAAAGACTCACTCTTGGTATTATATGTGGATTGTGTTCTGTTAGGGAATAACATTTACTTCTTAAATGAATTCAGTATTTTATTAGTACTGCTATTAACCCTATAAACTGTTTTGTAAAAGAAAGTTAGCCATGTTTAAAAATTCTATAGTCTATTTCAGGTCATTAGGAGAATGTAATTAAAAATTCATCCTCTTCATTCATCATAAATATAATTGTCAGTAAAACTTGGCTTATACAGAACACAAATGCAAAATTACATACAGCTTGGTAATCATGGAACTGCAGGCGAGCTGGCGGCCGGGCTCACAGAGCTGAGGCGGGGCTTCCTTGGGGATGCGCGGGGCGCAGGTGTGGACGGGTTCTCTGGGGACATCAGTGAAAGAACAGCTACGTTGCGTGGGGTGGGTCAGGAAAAGCTTCAGGAAGAGGGGACGTTTGGTTGGTCCTTAACTGCTGCACAGGAGACCTGGGGACACTGACAGGGGGCGGGGCGACAGAAGGCAGAGATACGCACGCGTGAAAGTGCCGCGCTGAGGCACGCAGTGCGCCGTGCCAGAGGCGCCTTCTGATGTGGCTGGGGGTGAGCGCGCACAGGAGCGCCCCAGGCCGCGTGGGCAGGCCGTGCTGCGAAACCGGCTCCTGTTACGTGCAGGGCCGCCCCCCAGAAATGTGAGGCGGGAGACTGAGCGTGATCAAGCGTTGGGGGAAGAACGTCAGTGCTGACCGGGGAGAGGCCTCGGCGCTCCCAGCGGGAGGGCCGGCGGTAGCAGCGCAGGTCAACAACGTGATGCCGTGTACGCGGGAGAGGACGGGGGTGGGGGGGGCGCAGTGATAGAGGGGAGGGTGTTCGAGAGGAGAAGTTAACAGAATTTGACAGAGAATTGAACTGACACTTGTTGATGAATTGGAGTCAGGGACTCTCGGCGAAGGAAGAATCAAGGGTTAACAGAAATGCTTAGTGCGTACACGGAACAGATGCTAATGCAGCCACAAGCAGGAGACCTGGTTCCAGGAAGGTGGCACTGCCAGCAGCCTGGGGGGCCAGTCTGAGCGGTGTGGGGGCCCTTGGCTGCACCCGCCTTCTCCAGGGCCAGCGAGGGTGTGGCAGTCACCTCCCCACACCGGTGTCTGCCCTGGACTGCGAGGCATTTCTGTCCCTCATATTTTCTCCTTTCAGGAGTTTCAGACTTATTTCCTGTGTTTCTTGTATTGACTTCAGCCGACATGCAGCAGGTCCTAAGTGTATGGCCTGTTCTGCAGAATTCTAGTCGCCGGTACCTCAGGGAGTGTCCTAACGGCCTTCGTCTGCTTCCTGTCCTAGAACGTGATGCCCCTCTCGGCGGGACTCTTCAAGAGCGAGCACAGAAACCCTGTGCCTCAGTGCCCCCCGCGCCTCCACGTGCAGTTCCTGTCGCACGTCCTGTGGAGCCGAATGCCCAACCAGTTCCTGAAGGTGGACGTGTCCCGGATCAGCGAGCGCCAGGGCTGGCTGGTGCAGTGCGTGGACCCGCTGCAGTTCATGTCCCTGCACATCCCCGAGGAGAACAGGTCCGCCGGTGCTCTGGCACCGTCCCAGGGGCTCCGGGGGGGGGGGGGGGCGCCGGGGACACACAGTGAGGTTTAAAAAGACCTTATTTCTTGTGTCCAACAGAGGCATTATTTTACATGTTCCAAGTTTCCATCATTTTCCCAACCATGTTCCTGAAATAGCGATGATGCCGCTGTAGAAGAGGCAGCCTGGGAGGGCACTGTTCCTTTCTGCTCCCTTGCTTTTTCATGGCAGCAGCAAGGAAGGTCTTGGGGGCGCCCCGCAGGCTGACTCGGGGCTTCGGGAGTGAAACGGTGTCGTACAACTGCAGGGTGTTAGAGACGGAATCACAGAAGGCAGTTTAACCCTCTGTTTGACGGTGTGACATGAATGAAAGAAAACTGAAAATAGGCTGAGAGCTTTGGGAGCAGGTGGACCTGCGCTCTAGACAGCGATTGTGGTGACACGGAGCGCGGCCTGCACGCACCGGCGGCTTCGTGAGTCGCAGCTTCCTGTGCGATAGCCCTTGAGGCTGCGAGGGTTCATTTCAGCAGCCTCGTGATAAGAAGGTGCTGCGTTTTGGGCCAAGACTGGCCTCCCAAAATACCGTCAAAAAGTGCAGTCACAGAGTGGAAACACTGCATGGAAAATGCAAAGATGAACATTTGCTGTTCTTGTATTTGAAGTCTTCACTCTTAGAACAGCGGCAGGAGATAGGCCCATTGTGCATATTTAGACATGCTTGGCATTTAAAAGAAATTTTAATAGCTTTAAAATTCAGTGTGTGTCTTGGGAAACAGCTTGTCAGTTTCTCAAAAAGTTAAATGTCGACGTGCCATATGACCCATCCGTTTCACTCACAACGAGTATGTACCCTGGAGAAATGAAGATACGGCCGCACGGCACCAAAGGCCGTGCGCCCACATTCAGAGCAGCCTGAGTCACAGCAGCCGAAGAGGGGGGCAGCCCAAACGCCCGGCAACGGGGGCATCAGGAAGTACAGTGTGGTCTCTCCAGACGGTGCTATTCGGCAAAAATACAAGGGGATGAAGTAATACATGCTCTAAAATAGGCGAAGCTTAAAATATTTTATCAAATTAAAGAAGCCATTCACTAAGGCTGCATATTTGCAGGATTCCATTTCATTGAAAAGCCATGACTGCGGCTCTGTGGCCGGAAGGAAGAGTGATGGCTGCTCAGGGCTGGGGGCCTGGGGCTGGCCGCCCGCGGGCGCCGCATTTCTCGTGGGGCGAGGACAGTGCTTGGAACACAGGCTGTGGTTCTGGTGGCACAAATCCGTGAATATACTAAAACCGGGGAATTATATATTGTATATACATAAATTTTATCATATGTAAATTATATCAAAGATATTTTAAAAGAAACCCAAAGGAAAATCTAGGCAGGTAGATGTATGTGTATGTTAAATATTTACCTATTTTAAGTGAAATAGTTAGAAATATGTGTCATTTACAATGTTCTCTTTAGATGACTGAATTTTATTTTAATTTCATTCTTATTTTATGCAAGAAAACGTTTATTGGAAATTAGCATCTGGTTTAAAAAGAATTACTCGGCAACCAAAAGAAAGATAACATTTGGGAAGGAATTTTTCTTTGTGAGGGGAAATATTATCTCTCTACTAAGCGGAGAATTTTAGGATACTAATTAATATGTGGGCATGCCACAGTCAGACACCCAACATATGCTCCTGTCGGAGTAACTTAGAATTCATATGAATTACCTGTGACAAATTTGTGGATGATTTATATTAATTACTGGTGACAAGGGAATGGATAATTTAAACTCTTCCTACGCCCAAAGCATTTGAGTCAGTTTCCTAAAATGTATACAATGCAAATGCCTAAGAAAGTGCCCCGGGGATGAGGTTGCAGAGAACAAAGCGGGAGCGGCAAAGCCGGGGCTCGGCAGGCAGTCACTAAACACTGCTCTGTGTGGCTGGTCGGGTCCGGTTCCACGCTGGCCTCGGGCTTCCTGGAAGCCAAAGGAAGATCTGATGAGTTTCAAATTCAAATTCCAAAAGGGAAATAAATGCCAACTAGCTGTGCGCAGAATCTTTTTCTCATACCCCAAACAATTGTAGCATGGCAAGTAGTTACCATTTTAGAATTTGGGGTCACAGGAGATGTGCGTGAGCCCTCTGTTTTCACGTCTCCGCCGGACAGCAAGCCCCCTGCGGACAGGAGTCGTGTCTGTTTGGGCCACCTGCTGTCACCCGTGCACGGTGCTTGGTGTGTAACTGACACGCTGTAGTACTGAGTGAAGAAGAGTGATACTGAGTCATCCCCTGGGGACTTGAAGGAGTACAGGAAGTTGCATCAGTCAGCTTTTATGCAGTGATCACCCCTAAACCTCAGTGGCTGCAAATAAGCATCCCTTGCTCGTGTTGCACGGGTCCTGGGTCCCCTGCAGCTCTGCCCAGACTGGGGGTGGACTGTAGCGTGGCCCTGGCTACTTCTGACCCTGAGAGCCAGCTGGCGGGCAGCCCCGATCCGGGACGGGTCATTTGCATGGCCGAGGGTGGCTGTCCAGGAGGACCAGCAGACACTGCAGGCCTCTAAGAGTTTTCTCGGCGCCCGCTGCAGGCGTTGGGTCCGCTTGGGTTTTGTGGGCACAGCCGGTCATTTAGTCAGGCCCCAAGGAAGTGGAGCAGATAGGGTTACCCAGCCTCAGGGAAGCGGGCGGGGAGTGTCCACCGACGGCAGCGTAACCCACAGCCTGGCCTAAGCAGGTGCTGCATTATGTGTGTGCCATCGTCCTCACAGCAGATAACATAACGCGTCATTTCTTTTGCGGTCCTCCACTTAAAGCCATAATCCATTAAAGTATGAATATTACTACAAGGGAAGACAAACGAAATTAGTTGAGGTGTGTGCCTTGGTTTGCCCTGTTGTGAGTTGAAATTATGAGATGCAGACTACAAATCCTGCAGAATTCTCTCCTGCATTGCACACACGTGCGTGAGTGCCCGTGGTGTTCCTGCCCTGGATACAACACGGGGTGAGCAGCAGACCTGACCCTCCCCTTAGAGTGTGGTCTGGAAGGAAGAGGTGTGTTCAAAGGGAATCGCCGTGCGAGAAATGGGTGGGGCATGGGTCAGGAGCGGCAGCAACAGGGAGACTTGTAGTCCTTCCACGTTTCTGGCGTGTCGTGAGGGAGACACCGTGTCCTTCAGGAAGAGCCTGCAGTGCAGGCAGTCGGTGTTGCTGCAGTGAACACATCTGTGCATTTGACCTTCCTCCCGGCTGCAAGGCGGGGGACTGTCTCCCCGGGGGTCGAAGTCCGGCTAAGACCTGGAGGTCGTTGTCCACCATGCTTTGCAGGCGGGGCTGCTCATCGGTACCTCTCCAAGAATCGGGTGCTGGCAGCGGGTCCCGCGGTTGTGTGGTGGGTAATCGTTTGCTTTCAGATTTTAGTGCAGGAAGCTTCCAATTCTGAGAGTTGGGAGGTGGCGTCTGGACCAACTGCACCATAGAGCCACGGTGGCTTTTCATGTTAATGCCTGTGACCCAGGCACCCCAACACAGTGGCTGGGTATGGGCAGGATAATGGAGTGGCTGGGGTCTGACAAAGCCGAGCACCAAATGGTGACTGCTCGGTACCTCCTGAGTCCCCGGCTGGGTTCTGGGAACGAGCTGATGTTGGTGAACGAGTGTGTGGCAGCCCCATTCTGATGAGCTTCTGTGGCAGCCTCGCCAAGGACCCCTTTCTAAAGGAGCCGTGGCTCCTCTAAAGGAGTTCTTAAAATGGACTCTATTCTCAAAGGAAAGACTTTAGGCATATTCTGGCCCTATTTTTGATGTTTTATGTGTTGAAAGGTCATGGTTTGTGGCAGAAGCAAAATGACCTGAATTAGGAGCGGGTGTGAACTCCGTTTCCCAGCAGGAGCTTTCCTCAGTGACAATGTCACTGTAGTGTGTGTTTCCGGGGCCGGGGGCGGCACACCTGGTGGAGAGCAGGCGGCATGCGTGCGGTCTGTGAGGGAGGTCGGCCGAAGGGAGGCTGTGTCCGGGGAATCAGTCCAGTTTCCTGCTCTGGCTGCTTAGGCGGATAGCTCACAGGCCTGAGAAAAGGGTGCAGACTCCTGAATCTAAGGCCGAGTTTTCTGGGTGCTGGAAACCAGTGAGCCAGTTGGAAATGAGACTTGGGGTTTTCAAGGAGTGCTCACATTCTGAACGGAGGGGGTCCCCAGGTGCAGGCTGAGACCCAAGTATCTGAGAGGTGCCCCGACCTCGGGAGCATGGACGATGACGAGGGTACAGGCAGGAGTGGGTGGAAATTTTCAACATAAAATTCTGTATAGAAGAACTCTCGTAAAACGCGTAGCACTGCTTATTAAGCGATCTATGCTGCCATTCGCACGCCACGGGAGAGGGCGGGGAGCCGGAGAGAGCGTGTGTGCGTGAGCTCCCAGGCTCCCCCGTGACTGAGGGTGCCCCTCCCCGCAGGTCCGTGGACATCCTGGAGCTGACGGAGCAGGAGGAGCTGCTGCGCTTCCACTCGCACACCCTGCGGCTCTACTCGGCTGTGTGCGCCCTGGGCAACCACCGCGTGGCGCATGCGCTCTGCAGCCACGTGGACGAGGCGCAGCTGCTCTACGCCATTGAGAGCAAGTACATGCCCGGCCTGCTGCGCACTGGCTACTACGACCTGCTCATCGACATCCACCTGAGCGCCTATGCCACCGCCCGGCTCATGATGAACAACGAGTTCATCGTGCCTATGACCGACGAGACCAAGAGCATCACGCTCTTTCCGGACGAGCACAAGGAACACGGGCTGCCCGGCATTGGCCTCAGCACCTCGCTGCGGCCGCGCATGCGCTTCTCCTCGCCCAGCTTCGTGAGCCTCAACCACGACTGCTACCAGGACAGCCCCGAGTTCCCACTGGACACACTCAAGGCCAAGACGATGCAGATGCTGACTGAGGCTGTGCGGGAGGGCGGGCTGCGGGCGCGGGACCCTGTAGGAGGCACCACCGAGTTCCTCTTCGTGCCACTTATCAAGCTCTTCTACACGCTGCTCACCATGGGTATCTTCCAAGGCGAGGACCTGAAGCACATCCTGCAACTGATAGAGCCCCGGGTGTTCAAGGAGGCCGTCCCGGAGGAAGAGCAGCAGGCGCCACCCGTGGAGCCCCGCACCGATGACGCCAGGCTCGAGGGTGCACGTGGAGATGCAGCAGAGGGGCTGCTGCAGATGAAGCTGCCTGAGCCCGTGAAGCTGCAGGTGAGGGGGGAGCCGCGGGCGAGCGGCGCGGGGAGGGGCGGGGGGCGCAGGGCTGCAGAAGGCCGCGGCACCGAGGCCGTTCTTTGTGTGTGTGTTCCTGTGTCGTGTAGTTGACTGGAAAGCTAACTGATGTCCAGTTGTGTTTTGGGACCCATGAATCTGATTTTCTTATTATTTGGAATGGATTTAATGAACTTTCCAATTGAGTCAATTTATTATAGGTAATAAAAGATAAATGTAGTATATTTACCAAAGTGGTTTTCTTGGCCAGATACAGACCTGTCTGCTATACATGTCTGATAGTCTGGCCTATCACTGTGTGTATGTATATTTGTACAGATGTGTTTATGTGTGTATGTGTATCTGTATAGTTGTGTGTATATGTATATTTTGGGTGTATGTGTATAGTTGTGCATTGTGTATCTGTATATTTGTGTGTGTATATCTTTGCATGTGTCTGCAGTTGTGTTATGTATGTGTATGTGTGTGTCCATTTGTGTATATGTATTTGTGTGGATAGTTATGTGTATGTGTGTACATGTACATTTCTGTGTGTGTATAGTTGTGTATGGGGTATGTATACACATATTTGTGTCTGTATTGTGTGCATGTGTGTATGGATATGTGTGGTTGTGTATGTTTATGTGAGTATATTTTGTGCATGTGTGTTTATGCGCACATGCATGCACGTGTGTGTATATTTCTGTGTGCATACAGTTGTGTGTCTGAGTGTATGCATGTGTCTGTCTGAAGGCCAAGGACACGGGCTTCTGTCTGCCAGCTCTTCTCCTTGCTCCAGGCCCGTCCCCATTCCGCGTGCCTCTCCTTTGGTTTCTGCACATGCATCTCCCCATGTGTTGTTGGAATGCCTGAAATCCAAGGGATTTGGACCCTTTCCTACCCCTCCCGCATCTTGCCAACCTCAGGGCACTTGTCCTGCAGCCAGGTGTCACTTTCTGTGTGTGTTCCTGAGGAAGCGCAGGCATGGCCTGTCTTTGTGCTCAAGCTGTCTGAGCACCTTTCTTCAGCCCCTTTGGTCTACTGGGACCACCTGGGCGTGTGCGTCGCTGGCGCGCTGCTTCCCTCTCCATCCCGCAGGCAGGCCTCCCGCTGAGCCAGGTGCTTGTGCTGGGGGAGGCAGAGGGGAGCCCCGCCTTCCAGAAGCGTGGTCCTGCAGGGAACCAGACACTTGCTGACGCACTTCTGTCAAATACCTTGCTGCTGCCTATGCTAGTGACCCGGCCTGAGGGAATAGGATGGGTGACGAGAAGGGTAGGAAGGGTTAATAGGAGGCTGTGAGAGAGACAGGGGAGGCCTCTGGCTGAGGTCCAACTAGTGTGTGTGTGTGTGGGCAAGGAGCTCTGCACGCAGAGCCTGCGGCACCGCAAGCCCTGAGCAGGAAGAGGCCGTGTGGCTTCAGCCGTGGCCGAGGAGAGAGGGTGGGACAGGCCGAGGGCGGGTCACATTGATGGGAGCCACGTGATGGATTATGAATTTTAGTCTAAGTGCAATTAAAACCTATGAAGAGTTTCAGGAAGAAAATTTCATCCTGAAATCACAGTGCAGCAGCCATGAGTAAAACAGGGAAGAGGGAGAGACCGGCTGGTCCAGGGCAGACGGGGTCAGGAGGCTGTCACGCAGGCCCAGGCCGAGGGCTGGCACTCATACCAAGGAGGGGGCATAGAGCAGGGCTACTTTAGAGCCACCATTGACAGAAATGGCTTTCATGAATGGTGACATCAAGCGTTTTAAAGGCTTTTTTAATAGTGCCTTGTATTGAATCACAATTGGTATTAGTGTATTTAAATGTTTTCCTAAACTCGGGCATAACATTTTCTGGTTGGCATGTCTCTAAGGCCTTACTATACAGGTAAAAACCCTTTCAGCTTCCTGTAAGAGAATATCCAGTTAGCCATTTAGGGACTATGCCATAAAACCACTAAATTAACTATGTGCAAAGTCCAGAGGTAGACAGCCCTAGAACTGGTAGAACTCAATGGTGCCATTCGAACCCAGAACGCAGGGTCCTACTGTGCTGCCTAGTCCGTGGTTTTCATCCTAAGGGTGTAACCCCTCTTTCTCCAGTGAGTGCGCCGTGACCCGGTAACTCTCACTTTGAGAACAGAGTGTTCCAGCCTGTCGTTAATGATGGAGAGTCTTTCCCAGGAGACCACAGGCGGACTTCTTACCTCCCTCACTAACCTCAGCACGATGGCTGCGGAGGGGCCAGCCCGGGGAGTGCCCCCCACCGGGGCCTGCCTTTGCCATTGTGGCCTAGGTGGGTTCCGTCTCGTTCCAAGGGACCTGCTGCCCCAAACCAGGCTTCTGTTTGTAAGGGAGCAGAGTTGGCAGCTGGGCACCTCGGCCCGGATTTTGATTAGCTACCCATAAACTATTTCAAGATTCAGATTTCGTGTCTTTTTAATTGTCTTCTTAGATGTGCCTGCTCCTTCAGTACCTCTGCGACTGCCAGGTCCGACACCGGATAGAAGCCATTGTGGCCTTTTCGGATGACTTTGTCGCTAAGCTGCAAGACAACCAGCGCTTCCGCTATAATGAAGTTATGCAAGCCTTAAACATGTCGGCCGCGCTCACAGCCAGGAAGACAAAGGAATTCAGGTCCCCACCTCAGGAACAGGTACAAGGATGAGTGGAAAATTCTTCCTTTTCGCTTTGGCTTGTCGCTCATTCAGGATGCATGCGCTGCACAATTATAAGTCGCAGTGCATTTTCCCCTGTTCTCTTTAAACTGGCCAGGTTGGCGTAGTCAGTGTTCTTAGTTTCACCAGTGAATCCACTTGGCTAGTTTGAACAAGTAAGGGACTTACTAGACGCAGTGAGGTGTACAGTGGCCTCGCCGAGGAGGCCAGTGCGCTGCGTCCTGGGGTCTGCCGACGGCATGGTGTGCAGCCGCCGGTGGGTGGCCGTGGCCGGCCCAGTCCCACTGCCGACAGGGACCCTTGACTCCTAGGATGCAGTGCTCAACACTCCTTATTTTAAATATGTGTTTATTTCCTTACTGTTCATTTACAGCTGACATTCAATATTATTTTACATTAGTTTCAGGTGTATAGCATAGTGGTTAGACATTTTTATACTTTACAAAGAAGACACCTTCTCTTTGGTCCATCCCTGGAAGAAGAACCAAATGTCACGGCCACCATTCTTGCTGGATGATTGCTCCCCCGTTTGTGGTTTTTCCTCCTGTTTAGCTCCAAACACAGGTCTCCCGAGGGTACAGCAGAACCACAGACATGTACCTGAACCAAACAGTGAGCGAGTCTGGGGACCTGGGTTTTCTGGAATCTTCCTCAGAAGGGGACTCATAGTGTGAGAAGTTCAATGGTGTCTTCAGTATCTTACTCTTACCGTTTCCCCCCAGATTCAAGATGCCAGTGTTTAGGGACTAGCTGCAGAATTTACTTTTCTCAGCAAAATGTAATTTCTTTGAGGGGAGGGACAGAGTGTGGCTTATGCTGTAAACACCATTTGCTGAGCAGAGGACAAGCCCAGCTGCTCCCCGGCCACTCCGCGTGTGAGGCTGCTGCCTCTGGAGGGGTGCGGTAGGTGTGCCTTCGCTGTTCTGCCTGCGCAGGACAGCCGTCACCCCGGGGTTACAGAGAGCACGGCAGGCCTCTGAAAGACAGAGGGAGGAAAGGGGACTGGGTACAGGGCTCAGAACTGGAGGAACAACCTGGCGGAGAGCTCCTGGGCTTTCGTTTTGCCTTAGACTGTCCCACACTTGGCGCTAAGAAGCCAGGCACCCAGAATGCCGGTAGCCTAGACAAGGAAAGCCCCCCAAGAAAGCCTTCTGTGTGGCGTGAAACCAGGGAAACTGTTTCTAGGAAGACAGAAAACGCTTAGCTGTTAACTGCATGCCTCCAGCCGAATGCCACAGCAAGCCCTGGAGCCCAGCCCCCACCCCAGCAGCATTGTGGCGTGAGGGTCCCAGCCTTCCAGCCTCTCCTGGGGGAGGGGGACAGGTGCTCCGTCCCAAGGCCCCCCACGGTGTCAGCAGAGGCCCCAGAAGCAGAGGCACCAGCCAGGGCTGCGTGAGTGCGTGAGAGGCACTGGGACACCCAGCCTTGCCGTGGGCGCAGGTCCCCCCTCCTTCGTGGGTCCAGGCAGGCCAAGTGGGGGATGGGCTTCCACTCCCACCTGGCAGTGACGAAGCACCCAACGCTCTTCTTGAGCCACATAATCTCAGGATGTTTAAATAAGGCCCAAAGTCCCATAACACAGTGCCAGAATGTCCAGGTTTCCCCTGAAGATCACTCATCATACCAAGAACCAGAAAAAACTTGAATGAAAACTATAAGTAATAGACCTCAACTCTGAGATGACAAAGATGTTAAAATTATCTCACAAACCATTTAAAGCAGCCATTATAAAACTGCTTCAAAATGAAAAGAAGTCTCTGCAAATAAATAGAGGCTAGAAAGAACCAAATGGAAATTTTAGAAATGAAAGTAATATCAGAACTTAAAAACCCTCAGTAGATGGACTTCACAGCAAATGGGGAGACAGAGGAAAGAATCATTGAATTGAAGAAAGAACAGAAGAAATTATGGTCCTGAAAAGAAGAAAATGGACTGAAAGAAATCAAAGATGCCTCAGGGAGCAACATCAACGTAACAGGGAGGCCTGAAGTCCCAGGGCTGAGAGACAAAGGGTGAGCTGAAGAAATGCTTGGAAAACTCACGGTTGAAAACTTCTCAAATGTGACAAAAGATATACAGAAAGAGATTCAAGAAGCTGGGTAAACTCCAAACAGGAGACCCACAGAAATCTAAACCAAGGCATATCGTAGTGAAACTTCTGAAAACCAGAGACAAAGGAAAAAATCTTGAAAGTAGTGAGAAAGAAATGATACCTTTAGGAGAAAAGTAATTTGAGTGGCTGGATCTCTGCTTAGAAAACGTGGAGGCCAGAAGAAAGGGGCGTATTTTTCAAGAGCTGAAAGAAAACAAACTGTCAGCCCAGAATTCTATGCCCAGAGAAATATCCCCAGAAATGACAGGGAAAGAAATCAAGACCTTGTCAAATGGAGGCAGGAACCCTGTGAAAATTTGACTGTAGCTGACCACCCTGAAAGAATGCCTAAAGGGTGTTCTTTAAACAGAAAGAATTTAAAGGCAAAAGAATGAAATTTTGGCAGAAAGAAAAAAAAACAACAAACAGGGTTAAGATACAAGTAAATACAATGCATTATCCTTCTCCTTTGTGTCTCTAAAAAAAAAATTCGTGTGTAAGTGGATCTGTGCAGTTCAAACCCATGTTGTTCTGGGGTCTCCTGTACTTTCAGTCTGCAGTTGGGAACCCACGTGTGCGGAGGGTTGATGTGAGTTGCACATGGGTTTTCAGCTGTGAGAGGGGTTGGTACCACTGATCCCCACATCATTCAAGGGCCAATTATTTTAAGTCAATTGTATTTTAAATGAAGTGGAATAAGGAACATAAAGGAGGTAAGGTTTCCGCACTTCACCAAACTGGTGACATGTTGATACCAGCAGACTGTCGTAGATCATGTGTGTATAATGTAACTTCCAGAGCCATCACTAAAGAAGTTCTGAAAAGAAATACATGAAAAAATACCACGGATAATTCAGAATGGGATCCTAAAATTTGTCCCAGAACCCACAGCAAATTGAGAAAAAATAAATTAGAACACACATGAAACAGCTAAAGTAGGAGACTTCAGTTATTAATAGATCCATGAATACAAATAATCAAATGTACCAATTAAAAGAGATTGGCAGAGTGAATTTTAAAAGCTTGGCCTAACTCTATGCTGTCTATAAGAAACTCACTTCAAACATAATGAGATAGGTTGAAAGTCAAAGGATGAAGAAAGATAATAGTATGAAAAATTAGTCAGAAGGAAGTAAGATTGTCTATAGCAGAGCAAAGAAAATCACCAGAGACAGATGAAACATTACACAATGATAATGTATATGCACTAAACAACAGAGATGGAAAACATGTGAGGTCAACATAGGACTGAAAGGAGAAATAGACAAATACACAGTTACGGTCAGAGACTTCAACACCCCTCTCATAATAATTGATAAAACTAGACAGAAATAAGCAAGAACATGCAGAATGCAGTGCTATGATCAGCTAACAGGATCTTTGAATATTGTGAAATACTCTACCCAACAACAGAATACACATTTTTTTCAAACACCCATGAAACACAAAGATGGACTATATCCAAGGCCATAAAACCACCTCAACAAATTTAAATTAGGATCTTTTTCATACAGAATGTTTTTTCTTACTACAGTGAAATCAAATTAGAAATCAGTAGCAGAGATAACAGGTAAAATCTCTAAAAACTTGGAAACTAAACAACATTTCTAAAATTTCCATTGTTCAAGGAGGAAATCTCAAGGGAAATTAAAAACTACATTGAACTAAAAGTAAATGAAAATACCACATATCAAAATTTGTGAAAAAGGCTAAAGTAGTGCTGAGAGAGAAAGTGCACTTAAAAAGAGGAAAACATTCAAATCCGTAATCTAAGCTGCCATCTCAAGAATTTAGAAGAGCAAAATCAACCCAAAGCAACCATAAGGAAGGTAATAAGAAAGAAGAAATTAACAAAACTCAAAACAGGACAATTGAAAAAAATCAATGAATCCTAAAGCTGATTACTTAAAATGTTGTAAACAACAACAACAACAACAAACCTCTAACAAGACTGACAAAGGAAAAGAGAGAGGAAGACACGGATTACCAATATCAGGGATGCGACATCACTCTAGACCCTGAAGACATGCGGAGGGTCACACGGGAATACGTACATGCTTGCGATGTTTCCATTTTTGTAACATGCTTGACAGGGCAACAATACAGAAATGGAGAGCAGGCTAGAGGTTGGCAGGAACTGGGCGAGGAGCGCACAGGAGAGACGGAGCAGATACAACAGGGGAGCGGGGGGTCCCTGGAGGTGATGGGCTTGTTCTGCGTGTTGACTGTGTCACTGTGATACCCTGTTTGTGACACTGTGTTGCTGTTTCTCAAGACGCTGCCATTGCTCGGGCAAACTGGGCAAATGGTACATGGGATCTCTTCCTATTGTTTCTTACAATACCTACAGTTGAACCTACAGTTATCTCAAAATAAAAGTATAGAAAAATTCACATGAAAGACTCTAAAAAGAAAACATACAATTGTTTTCTACAGGAAAATTACAGAATATCAACATACCTTTATTTTCTTCATTGATAAATTTAATATTGTGTCTAAAATTTTAAAAAATGGAAGAAAGTTTCTTGCAGTTTTTTTAAGTGAATTGTGAACAAATGCCTAGTTATCTATTGTAATATTTTTTTATTATGATTAGGTTTTCCCTTCTTCTTTACTGCTGTATCTTTTTCAAAAAAAGTTCTTATAAATATTCAATAAAGTGTATAAATGAAGTAGAGAAATGGAAATGTAGGAGATGCAGAATAAAATATTTTAAATAACATTTAGCTCTTAGTTGATTTAAGAACTCTCAGTATACAAGGGTTTAAGACATTGTGGAGTGGTGAGGAGAAGGAAATTATGTGACTATTTTGCAGCACATTAAGCTTTGAATGGCTTGATTTATTTTGTGGCGTTTTTTGATCTGAGTGATAGATAATGATTTTTCATCTGTTGGGCAACAATATAGGAATACTCCAAAATAGGTCTTGAACGTTTTTGGTTTTCACGATCTTTGCTGGGTCATTCCTGAATCCACTGTTCTCTCATACTTGTTCCTTCTCTTCCTGGTTCTAAACTTTCAGATCAATATGCTCCTTCATTTTAAGGATGACAAAAGTGAATGCCCGTGTCCCGCGGAAATCCGAGACCAGCTCTTGGATTTCCATGAAGACCTGATGGCGCATTGTGGTAAGGTCTTTGTGACTTACAGCTCTGCACACGTCCTGGTGCAGACGTGAATCTGTATGTGAAAGGTTCACAAAGATGCATGATGCCTGTTATGGGTCCTCTAAGAATACTTTTTACAGTAAAATCGTTAAGGGACCCTATGTGGGAAGTCAGGAGGGATAGAGAGGAGAGAAAGGCTATCAGACGGAGCAGATGATGACAAATTCTCTCTTTCTCTCCCCTCTTTCCCTCAGTGGTGGGGCTTCGGGGGTGGGCATGGTGAGGAATTGTCACCAGGTGCTTTGGACAGAGAGCCAAGTGTTAGGCTGACTGAGTCTCAAGAAATTTGTTCACAAGCAGCTGTCTTTAAACAGACCACAGAGCCACTTTTTAGAACTGGCCAAGGACAGCCAGCGTGTCTCATGAACTTAATGTCTAAGGAAATCCTACATGAATTATATGTTAGTAGCCCAAGTCTATTAAGGGAATCCTCCACCCCTTTCATTTGGAGAACTTTAAAAGTGGAGTTGACTGGGTGTTCTGGGTGTATGTCCCTTCTCTCTGTACGCAGAGTGCGGATAACGTCTGTGTCCCAGTGGGCGAAAATGAGCTAACCACTTCTTAACTGATACATGCAGCATCCATGGTATTAGTTTTATTTTAAAAGAGAGTAAAAGCACTGCCTTCCACATTAATTCAGCTCATGAATGAAGAACCACTGAATGACCGCCATAAAGTTCAGCCGTAAATCGTGTGGATAACGGGGTGCTGTAAAATGGCAGAACTATTGCTTCAGACATAAAGCGTCCCCTGCTCTAGGGCACCTGATTTGGCTTGTTCTCCCTCCCTGCACCTCAGCTTGACAAATGCTGACACTTATGGAGGCAGAGCCTCAGGTGTAGGCAGACAGCGCCCGAGGTCAGAGACACTGGCCCGCGTGGGCACAAGGAGCGGAAGGGACCTTGTCTCCAGAGACAGAGCTTCTGTCCTCTGCTCGGTTTGTAGTTTGGACCGGCCACCCCTGGCCCCAAGCCCACAGGAGCAGGGAAGGAGGAGGAGGGAGCAGGCACAGCAGCGTGTGCCTGTCACTGAGGGCGCCCCCTTGAGCTCTCGCTCAGTGTCCTCCAAGGTCACAGAAGAGGCGTCGCTTCACCTGTGAGTGGAGAAGGTGGCAAAGCCTGAGACCCATGTCTTCTACATGTTCTTTTTCAATATTTTTTCCTTTCCTTTTTTCTCTCCTCCTAGGAATTGAGCTGGATGACGATGGCTCTCCAGATGGGAACGGCGACTTAACCATCAGAGGGCGCCTGCTGTCGCTGGTGGAGAAGGTGACATACCTGAAGAAGAGGCAGGCTGAGAAGCCGGCGGCGAGCGACCCCGACAAGTCCTGTAAGCATGCGAAGGGCCACTGGCAGGGCCTCCGCCGCCGGCCTTGCTTGTCCTGTGGCCTGTTGGGTCCTGCGTGACGAGCCAGTGAGGGGCTGATTTGCAGCCTCCCGGAGCCTGGTTCCCGAGCGGGCGCCGGTGGCGCAGGGAGTGTGCAGCAGCGTCCGAGGGGGTTGCCGGGAACCTGGAGAGAAAGCAGCTTTGTGAGGGTGGACGGGCTGCCCAGCAGGGGGACTTCAGGTGTTTGGTGGGAGATTATTAGGAGAAAGCCAAGCGGGGTAGTTTAGTCTTCGTATCTGAATACTCTGCAGTTGATTTACAAGTATTCTTACATCACCTTAAACCTTTTCTTGAAGTGCACATAGATATCATCCGTAACTATGTGCTGGTTCTGAGGTCTTTTCTGAAGTGGATGCTTTCCTGGCTGGGGCGTGTTCCTTTCACTGGACGCGCCATCCTCACCGCCCGGAGACTCCCTTTCAGAGGCTGTGCTGAAAGGAAGAAAGTGAACTCCTGAGACTGTGGGGCTTTTTCTAACTTACTGAGGAAGTGTTTTATTTATACCATTACTGCTAAATTTGTCCTTTAGTGTCACCACCAAATTTGAGTCAGGTCTTCTTCAAAACCAGGGTTCAGCATTTCTTATAATCACTTTGTTGTTATTAAGTTTATGATCTTGAGCTATTAAAATGACAGCATGGTTTTGAGAAATGTGGAAGTGTATTAGTAATTTATCTGCATTTTATAAGTGGTTAAAGTTGTTAGTTTTTGTTTTTCCTTAAATCTATTTTCTTAACTAGGTTTAAGCAGGTTGAACAGCTTTTGATTTTGAAAATCAGCCAGTGCATTATTAATGATAGGAAGGAAGTACCTCATTATGTTTAAATTGCTTATTTCAACCCTACTTAGCTTTGGTAATTGTAGTATTTATTTTACCAGGTGTGGAAAATGAACCTGTTGTTTTAAGTGTACTACATTACACACTACCTAGCAAGTAATCTTCTATATATGAAATGACTTTGCACTTTAGTACAGTTTTACAGTCAAATCCTTTTGAAGATGTTTTAAGTGACTATTGGGGATCCAAATTTAAATGTAAATAAAGTCACATGAGGTCACTACTGAAAATGACTTGAATGAGGAGACAGTTGGGTAAATGGCTCCTTGAAGGCCCATGACTGACCTTCATAAGGGTATGTGATATCAGATCTTCTGGGAGGAAAATAATGGCATGAATAAAATAAAAGTAAAATAGGATAGCTCATATCGATCATTGTATGGATTGCCAACAGTAGTTTTGAATAAGTGGCTGCAATGTTGGAATAACTAAAATCCATTAATAATAAGACTAGTTTGTGTATTTTATTCTCTCATCTCTATAACTCATCTTTATTGATATATACACACACACATCAATATTTATAAATGTTTACATGAAGTTTATTTTCTTCATAGTACCCCTAAACTTTCTGGTGCAAATATAAATACGAGTTGGGACTGCGAGATGTGCAGCTGGGATGCCCAACTAACTAGTCTTCTCTCGTTATTTTTGTTTCTGAAAACCACCGGCCGTGGCGCCGCAGCTACTCTCCAGCAGCTGATTTCTGAGACCATGGTGCGGTGGGCTCAGGAGTCCGTCATCGAGGACCCCGAGCTGGTGCGGGCCATGTTCGTGCTGCTGCACCGGCAATACGACGGCGTCGGGGGGCTGGCGCGGGCCCTGCCCAAGACCTACACCATCAGCGCAGTGTCGGTGGAGGACACCATCAGCCTGCTGGCCTCGCTCGGGCAGATCCGCTCGCTGCTGAGCGTGAGGATGGGCAGGGAGGAAGAGAAGCTTATGATTCGGGGACTGGGGTAAATTTAATTGTTACAACCTTTTGTCTTGCATGTCTGTTCTTTCTCATTGTTTATCCCAATACTAGAACAATAGGCACATGAATAAAAATAGATTTTTTAGCTTGCATGGTCATTAAATTAGATTGTGGTTTTTCTAGGGATTATGTCTTGACACTAAGTAGGGAAGTTGCTCACTAATGAAACATGTCTAATGTTACAACTAGGTGCTAAGATGGCTACGATACACAGCCAACATCTTAGACTGTGTTTCTTCGTTAATTACTCAGTAATGTGTGATCATATACAAAAGTACAGGTGAATAAAAGCACATTAAAATCCATGGGGAGACACATACTCACCAGCAGAAATTAATAAGGTTTCTCTGTGTCCACTGGGCCCTTAGAAGAGAGCGAGGAACTGGGGAATTCAGCATCAAAGGCTGTGCTTCCAGTGCATTTGTGGGCTAATGTTTATGCCTTATGCATAGTCTGAGGATCCCCAAGCTGGGAAGTTAACATAAAAAGTGGCCTGGTGCTATGCTTTCTCAGCTCAAGTTACTCTGACACCTTGCAAGAAAAACCTAAATACTACAAAAGATTAGCCCACAACCAAAGCCTGCAAAGCATGTAGGAAGCAATTCACTGTAAATAAGAGTCTGCAGATACAGTGAGCTGTGGAGTCAGAGCACCTCCCCCAAGAACTTCTGATAATAGCCTGCTGGAAGCAGAGCTTAAAGATGCTGGACACAAAAGAATAAGTGGAATCTCTGACAGTAAGATGTGTAGAAAGTCCAGGAACATTTGGAAAAAATCTAAATAGAACTTATGAAAAATGTGATAACTGACATCAAAAAACAGTTAATTACAGATAAGATGTAGCAGAAGAGAAAATGAATAAATTAGATCACAGCTCTGAGGAAATTAGTCATGCAGCACTGGGAGATGGAAAGACGAGATGCGCAGGATGGCTGGAGGGGGGCCCGCCTGTGCTCGTGGGGAGACTAGGAAACAGACAATCGCGAGCCACGTAGGGGAGTGTTTGAAGAGCCTCTGGCTTGAGTTTTTCAGAATTGATGAAGGATGGGCATTCACAGGTTCCTGAAGCACCAATAGTTCCACGTCCACAGCTGGATATAATGTAGCATAAAACCAACATTAAATCGACTATTTTAGAAGAAAATTGAGGGGAAAGCCAGAATGCTTACAAAGAAACAATATTCAGAGCTCTCCAAGGCAGAGCTGGACAACATGACTCAGTATATGATGGTTACCCAGCTGGGAAGCCAACACAGTGAGCCTGCACTTTGTGCAGATTTGGAGATTACAGTGCATACCCCACATTTAGGATCGAGAGAGAAACAAAGATATTTCAGAATGTTTACTTGCTACCCCTCATTGAAAGACCTTTAATGGCTGTATATTGAAGAAAAAATGGAATTCAGAGAGAAAGAATGGGAGACAGTTTTAGAGAGTATGTTACTGGTGCGTACATGCAGACATCTGAGCAATCGACCATTTGCATAACTTGGGGATATGAAAATAGGAGGGAACTAACATACCAGATAAAAATGAAACCTTAAATTAAGCTATATGATGTTCCCAAGAAACTCACTTAAACGGAAGCATGTAAAAATCTGGAATGTAGCCCTGACCAGTGTGGCTCAGTTGGTTGAATGTCGTCCCACAAAGCAAAAGGTCACCATTTTGACCCCTGGTCAGGGCGCAGGCCTGGGTTGCGGGCTCAGTCCTGGTTGGTGCACCTGTGAGAGGCAAGCAGTTGACGTTTCTCCCACACGTCGATGTTCCTCTCCCTCTCTTTCTTCCTCCCTTATTCTCTCTTTAAAAGTAAGTAAATAACATTTTTTTTAAAAAAAGAAATCTTCAATGTAAAATGTTGACAAGTGATGCAGGAGACAAATATTTAGACCAAGAAAAGCTGCTCTAGCTCTATAAATATCCGATAAAAGAGGAGAGGAGATAATGAGGATGACTACCGACATGGATAAAATAGAAGGAAAAAATAATGAAAAGGATTAAAGAAACCTCCGGTTGATTCTTTAAAAAAAAAAAAACCCTAAAAATAGAGAATAGTTTTTTTTTCTTTGACAAAAATAAAAAAAATAATTGTGAGGAAGAGAAAGTACAGAAAGATTTGGATTGTATGATATCATTTATGTACATTTTAAATTTTCATAAAACAATGCTATATATTGCCTGTGGATCTATTGACTATTTGAAATCATGAAAATAAAATGGAAGATTATATTCCAAAGTGGTTATAATGTTTGTACACAAAAAATAAATATACTAACTGGACAAAGAGGGAGCACAGAAAAGCCTGAACAACAGAGGCGGATTTTACAGTCTTAATTTATGGTTGTATGAGCATCAGTCTTTTTCTTTTAATGCCTCATGTCAAACCTGAGGAGGTTTCTCATAATAAGTAATCTTAATTAGCCAATGGAAAGGAGGAATTTGAGGAACTGGAAAGCACTCTCATTCTTAAATGAACATAAAATGCTTCTTTTTGTGAAATTAGAAATATCCCCCAAAAGGGCACTTTTTATAAGTGACTGCCTGTGTGCTGGGTGGTAGAATTATACATCCATTTAATTTACCTAAAACAAAGGTGAACGAGATTCTCAGTGAAGTATCTTTCAAAGTTAGGTCGTGCGAAGGGTTTGAATTGACGAGGACGGAGCCGCAGCTGTGCCGGGGGTGTGAGAGCCGAGGCCTCTGGTTGAACACGTGCTGAGACAGGAGGGGTGGGCCCTGTCATGGCCACATTTGCCGTTGTGTGAAGCTGACCAGGCCTGAGCTAGTCCTGAGCGCTCGTTTTTCTGAGTTGTGCTGTCTTAAGGCTCTCTCTATGAAACCAAGACAACTAAATTAAAAGAGAAAAACTAAAACTAAAAAATAATGGAAGAGAAAAAAATCATAGGAGAATTCTGTGATTCTCTGTCCTCCGTGCAGCCTGAGTTACAAAACGTTGGCGCCTGACTCACTGAATGGGTAACCCCAACGTGGGACCCGAGTCGTAGGCACAGGTTACGTTTTCCCGCAACAGCACCTCGTTTCTGGGCTCGAGTTCTGACAGGAAAGAAAAAGCTCTAGCTTTGATTTTATTCATGTTAAAAATTAATAGCTCTTCATGTGCAGTGATAAACATTAAGATCCTTACGCGTCCCTTTAAACGCATACTGTAACATGAGGCAAGGCAGTGATACTGAGAAGAAACAGCCCAGGCCCCACTGCTGCTGTTGCTTTAGACTGAACGTCTGGTTTCATGAGGTAGACGGCTTGTGCCTGGGCTTCATGTGTATTCAGTTTCCCTTGGAGAATGTGTATCTTTTAAAAACATTTCACCAGAATAACATAAATGTAACAGGAAAGAATGCTACTATCATTAAACATACAAATACTGAACACAGCACCAACATAGCATGTAGGAAAAGCAAATATTCTTATTTATCAATAACTTATATAGGAATATTCCTGTGAATGTGAAAACTGATTCATTTTTATGCAAAAGAAGGTTGAACATGCTTGGATATATATTAAATTAGGAGCTATGTGTCCAAAACTGCATGTAGTGCATTTCATGTAAACAAGAAGCTTATGCAACTTACATACTCTTTTTGGTAGGCTACCAATATTTTTGAGGACAACTCAATGAATTGTACTTACTAGCTTTCGTGGCCTAACTGTGACTGCTCTTACTTTTCCATGTATGCCAGTCATTATTTCTAACCCGCTGATCAGGTTAATTGTCATCGAAATTGTGCTCTGACCTGTGCTTCCCTCCATACCTGTGTTTCTTTGCAGGGACATCATGAATAATAAAGTGTTTTACCAGCACCCGAACCTCATGAGGGCGCTGGGGATGCACGAGACGGTGATGGAGGTCATGGTGAACGTCCTGGGCGGTGGGGAGTCCAAGGTGAGGGGGCCTCCGGTTCCCGGGGCGCCGCTATTACAGCCGCTTCGCGACCTGCGTTTCTTAAATCCTCCCAGGAGGAATGTTTGGAGAGACACCTTTTGAAAAACAAACAAAACCTTACAGAGTGAGAGTTGGATATGCTGCCAGCATTTTTTCCTTTAATATCTGCAACAATTTTTATCCTAAGCTGGGCAATTTGTTGTGTCCTAACCTATTGTCATTTGGGGATGTTTAGAAAGTTGGAAAGTTAATACTGTACTGCTTTTTTAAAATTTGGAATTATAAATCATCCACCACACAGACATGTCCTTCAGACCCAGCCGCTCCCCTTGGTGGCAGGTGGTCTCGCTAAAGTCCCGATCCAGGCTGAGACTTGAGGGTGATCCTCTGGCGTATTTGTTGAAAGACTGTGAACTATTAAGGGATTAAAATTTAAAATGAAGCTCTTTAAAACCAAATGAATAGAGAAATATAACAGATACCTTCATTGAAGTTGGTATAATTTCATAACCTCTGATTTGCAAAACACATCTCAGTATTTTTAAAAATTTTACAATGTATTTTTCAAAATATAGAAATGAGTCTATAATTCTTATGTTCAATCTACCAGTTAGACAAACTAAGAAATGTATTTCTTAAACACTCGTTAAAGAAGGACTCCTGGCATTGTCTGGGGATCCTGGAACAAGGTCTGGCTCTCGGGGACACGTCTGAGACAGGGCCAGGCTTCTGGGCAGGGTGCCCCTTAGAGCGGAGAAGTCGCAAGCAAGTCAGGGAGGCTGGGAGCACCTAGGACGGTAAAGGCCGCAGCAGCAGAAGCAGCACCGGGGATGAGAAGCTATGGCCCCAGCATCACCCTGGGTGTTTTTCACAGACTGTCGCAGTGACAGACCCTTTTCTTACGTAAAGTGGAGTGTTGCTGCCTGTCTCACTCCAGTTCTACACAACGGGAGTGGGGGAGACTGCGTGAGCTCACAAGGAGGCGCAGCTCAGTCAGGAATCGCGGTGACTCCACCTGGCCCCCGAGCCAGGCTCATGCCTCCTTCAGTTCAGGGCTATAGATTGATTCCAGATCAAGCCACTGACGGTAATGAGGTTTTGGAATTAATGCCAGCTTGATTTTTGTGGCTTGAGGTCTTGGCGGTGGGACGTATAAACCGTGGAAGAGCCCCAGGCAAGGGAACGTGCAGCTCTTCGGTGTCTGAGGCCCTGCAGATGGGGGCACACGGTTGGCAGCGTGACTGGGACCTGGGCTTCTGAACTGCATTCGATGCAGACGGTTTGCTTTCACAGCTAATTCAATGCTCTTTACCTAGGAGATCACTTTTCCCAAGATGGTGGCCAACTGTTGCCGTTTCCTCTGTTACTTCTGTCGTATAAGTCGGCAGAATCAGAAAGCTATGTTTGACCATCTCAGTTACTTACTGGAAAATAGCAGTGTTGGTCTAGGTAAGTAAATGTTTGATTTTCATTTAATTTCTGTGGTAAAAAGAATATATGTGTTGCAGTATAATGTAAATTGACTCAGAGTAGAGTGCAATGTGTGCTGCACTAGAAATTAAGTTTTAAGTGAAAGCGTGTTTTGCACGAAGTGCGTGGTTGCAGTATGATCCAGGTTTTGTTCCCCCTTCGTCTGGGTTAACAGCCTCACCGGCTATGAGAGGGTCGACCCCGCTGGACGTGGCCGCAGCCTCGGTGATGGACAACAATGAACTGGCCCTGGCGCTTCGCGAGCCAGACCTGGAAAAGGTAAGGCACCTCCCTGCCGCGGCGCTGCTGTGAGGCGTGCTTGCTCACGCTGTTTCTCAGGATTACGTAAATATAACTTTATTGTTGTAATTATGTTACTCTAATTATATATAAGTGCAACATATATTATTAGTTATAAAGAAGAAATTTGAGGTAAGTTATTTCCTCTTAACCACATGCATTTTTCTCTGAAAAGTTCATCAACTTTACTGTATTTCTGTGTGGTTTTGTCCTTCCATGGTACCTTCTGTCACCCTTGCTGCAGTTACGCAGTTTCCAGTTTTTTACGCTCTCCGAGGCCGAGGCATGGGGCTGGAGGGGAAGGGCCATTTCGCCCGGTGCACTGTAGCTGCACCTGCTTTCCTGTGTGACACTCGCCCTCCACACGGCTAAAACCTGGTCTCTTTTGGCCTGATGAACTCTGCTGACCACATCCTGACGATGCCCTGAGACTCTGCCCCACCATGGGTCCACGGGTCCCAGGCAGGTCGCAGCTGGCCTTGGTGCACCCTGAGACTTGCTGAGCAGCCTCGGACCCAGCACTGGTGCCAAATTTGAATCTCTTATCAACCTGCCGAACACCACGCACCCCTACCTGATGACCCATGGAGAGCCTACCTCATGCCATCTGCCTACTGCCAGAAGCTCTTTCAGTGACTGAGCCTAACAGCTGATGGGGGAAGGCAGGCTGAGGTGAATCTTGGGGTGCCTCGGCCTTTTGCTGACCTGTAGCTGGGCTTGGTGCTGGTGGAAGCTGGCCTTGGTGTGCATCTTGGACCTTCCCACACACACCCAGGCCCAGCAGAGGTAGCCACAAACTGGATCACTTGGTTGGTTACAGGCAGCGTCTGACATTGATGTGTACCAGTCTCTCCCAAGAGGCCCTGGAACCAACACACCTGGTTGTGGGGTTGTGACTACACCAGAGCACGACTCACTTAGCTCCACAAGTGGAACACGCAAAGAAAGATCCCGGAAGTCACCAGACTCTGCTGGGACAGTCTTTGTTTCATGGGGTCATTGCCCATGTAACAGCTTGTTCACTGTGGTCAGGATCCACCCTCATTGTCAGCCAGCCTGAGGGTCAGCCCCCTCCCATGGACAGGACAACAGCGATTAAGACTCAACTGCAGTAGGAGGCCTCACATCACCCACACAAGGGACACCCTGGAGCACATGGCTCTAGTGACCAGAGACTATGTCACTGAGCCCCACAAGAGACCTACTGCTTGAGGCCACCATACCAAAACTGGGAGAATACAGATCTGCCTTATACAGAGAAATAAATACAGAGAGGCTGCTCAAATGGGGAGACAAAGAAACAAGCCCCAAAAGAAAGAACAGGAGAAATCCCCAGAAAAAGCTAAATGCAATAGTGGCGAGCGAACTGTCAGAGTTTAAAACAGTGGTTATAAGGATGCTCAAGGAATTTAAGGAAAGAATGGATATGCTCAGTGAGAAGTTAAAGAGAGAGTAAGCATATTAAAGGGTATAGAAACCACAAAAAGGAATCAATCAGAAATGAAGACTACAATAACTGAAATGAAGAATACACTAGGAAGAATAAACAGCAGGTTTGTTGAAGTAGAGGATTGAATCAGCAGTTTCGAGAAAAAGGTAGCAGAAGACACCCAAGTAGAGCAGCAAAAAGAAAGCATTTTTAAAAATGAGGGTAGTCTAGGGCCCTCTGGGACAACATCAGGTGTAATAGCCTCTGCTCCATAGGGGTACCGGAAGAGGGGGAGACTGCCTGAGTGATCAAGAACCTATTTGAAGAAATAATGACTGAAAACTTCCCTAACCTGATGAAGGAAAAAGGCAGGCAAGCCCAGGAAGTGCAGAGAGTCCCAAATAAAATGAACTCAAAGGGGTCCAAACCAGGAGCCATCATAATTAGAATGGTGAAGGTTAAAGACAAAGAGAGAATCGCAAGTACAGCAAGAAAAAGACAGTTACCTTACAAGAGAGTTCCCATAAGACTGTAATCTAATTTCTCAGAAGAAACATTTTAGGCCAGAAGAGATAAACCCAAAATATTCAAAGTGATAAAAAGCAAAGACCTACAACCAAGACTACTCCACCAAGCAAAACTATAACTGAGAAGTAAAGGAGAAATAACTCCTGAGACAAGAAAAAGCTAGAAGAGTTTTTCACCAACAAACAGGTATTACAGGAAATGGACTTCTTTAAGAAGAAAGAAAAAAGAGGAACATAAAGAATAAAGTGTTAATAAATACATAACTATCAATAATCACTTTAAATGTAGATGGATTAAATGTTCCAGTCAGAATACATAGGGTAGCTAATGGTTAATAAGACAAGACCTGTATACATGCTGTCTACAAGAGATCCACCTCAGAACAAAAGATACACACAGACTGAAAGTTAAGAGGTGGGAAAAATTATTTCATGCAAATGGAAACAAAACAAAAAAGCCAGGGTAGCAATACTTGTACTGTACAAAATAGACTTTAAAACAAAGGCTATAATAAGAAACAAAGAAGGATATTACATAATGATAAAGGGATCAATTCAACAAGAGGAAATAACCCTCGTAAACATTTATGCACCCAACATAGGAGCACATAAACATAATATATAAAGCAAATCTTGATGGACACAAAAGGAGAGACCAATAGTAATAAAGACACAGTAGGGGACTTTAACAACCTTTTGACATCAATGGATAGATCTTCCAGAAAAAAAATCAACAAGGAAACAATGGCCTTAAATGACATATTAGACTAGTTGGTGTTAATTGATATTTTAAGAGCCTTACACTCTAAAACTGCAGGATATACAATTTTATTATGGACACATGGAGTATTTTCCAGGATATACCACATGTTAAATCATAAAACAAACCTCAGTAAATTTATGGAGTTTGGAATCATTTCAGGCATCTTTTTTGACCATAGTGGTATGAAACTAGAAATCAATTACAGAAATAAAACAGAAAAACACTCAAATACATGGAGGCTAGACAACATTTTATTAAATAGGTTAAAATTGAGATCAAGGAAGACATCAAAAGATACCTTGAGACAAATGAAAATGAAAACACAAAAATCCAGCAAATCTATGGTACACAGCCAAAGCAGTTTTAAAAGGGAAATTCATAACAATACAAGCCTATCTCAAGAAACAAGAAAAATATCAAGTAAACAATCTTATCTTACACCTAAAGCAACTAGTAAAAAAACAATGAGCAAGCCCAAAGTGAGTAGAAGCCCAAAGGTTAGAGCAGAAATAAACAAAATAGAGTCTAAAAAATACAAAAGATCAATGAAACCTAGAGCTGGTTCTCTGGAAAGGTAAGATTGATAAACCTTTAACTAGACTCATCAAGGAAAAGAGAGAGAGAGCCCAAATAAGTAAAGTCAGATGTGAAGTAGAATAAGTAACAACCGACACTACAGAAATACAAAAGATTTTAAGAAAATACTACAAACAATTACATATCAGCAAATTGGACGACCTGTAAGAAATGGATAAACTTCGAGAAACATATAAGCTCCTATGACTGAATCAAGAAAAACAAAATCTGAATAGATCATATACAACCAACAGAATTGAAGCAGTAATAAAAAAAGCTGTCAAGAATAACCCAAGACTGGATGGCTTCATAGGTGAGTTTTACCAAACATTCAAAGAAGAACTAATACCTAGTCTTTTCAAACTTTTCCAAAAAATTCAAGAGGAAGGAAGACTCCTAAGCTCATTTTATGAGGCCAACATTATCCTGATTCCAAAACCAGACAAAAACACTACAAAGAGAGAAAATTATAGGCCAGTACCCTGATGAATATAGATGTAAAAATTGTCAACGAAATGTTAGCAAACTGGATCCAGTAATACATTAAAAAGATCATACACCATGGTCAAGTGAGTTTAGTCCTGGAATGCAAGGTTGGCACAATGTCCATAAATCAACTAATATACCACATAAACAAAATAAAGGATTAAAATCATGTGATCATATTAATAGGTGCAGGAAAAGCATTTGACAAAATCTAGCACCAAGTTATGATAAAAACTTTCAGCAAAGTGGAAATAGAGGGCACAAACCACAACATAATAAAGCCCATGTATGACAGACCTATAGCTAACATTATAATCAACAGGGCAAAACTAAAAGCAGTTCCCCTAAGATCAGGAACAAGACAGGGATGTCCAATTTCACCAGTCGTATTCAACACAGTACTGAAAGTTGTAGCCACAGCAATTAGACAGGAAGAAGAAGAAAATGCATCCAAATTGGAAAGGAGGAAGTAAAACTGTCATTATCCACAGATGACATGATATCATACTTAGGAAACCTTAAAGATTCCACCAAAAAACTTTTAAACCTAATGAATGAATGCAGTAAAGTAGCAGAATACAAAATCAATGCTCAGAAATCAATTGCATTTTTATACACTAGTAATGAACTATCAGAAAGGGAAACTAAAAAAACAGTCCCATTTGCCATTGTATGAAAACAATAAAATACCTCAGAATAAATTTAACCCAAGGAAGAAAAAGGCCTGTACTTGGAAAATTGTAAGACATTGAAGAAAGAAATCAAAGGAGATACCAGTAAACGCAATTTCATACTACATATTTATGATAGGAATAATTAACCTCATTAAAATGTCCATATACTCAAACCAATCCAGCATAATTCCTATCAAAATACCAATGGCATTTTTCGCAGAACTAGAACAAATAATCCAAAAATATGTATGGAAACAAAAGACCCCAAATAGCCATAGCAATCTTGAGAAAGAAGAACAAAGTTGGAGGTATCACACTACCTGATATAAAATTGTACTACAAGGCTATTATAATCAAGATAGCATGGTACCAGCATAAAAACAGACAAATCAATGAAACAGAGTAGAGAGCCTAGAAATAAATCTATGCCTACATGATCAGTTAACATTATGACAAAGGAGGCATGAGCATACAGTGGGGTAAAGACAGTCTATTCAATAGTGTTGTTGGGAAAATTGGACAGA